CTCGCCTCTCTACCGCTCGCCTCTCTACCGCTATCCTCTCTACCGCTAGCCTCTCTACCGCTAGCCTCTCTACCGCTAGCCTCTCTACCGCTCGCCTCTCTACCGCTAGCCTCTCCACCGCTAGCCTCTCTACCGCTAGCCTCTCTACCGCTAGCCTCTCTACCGCTAGCCACTCTACTGCTAGCCTCTCTACCGCTAGCCTCTCCACTGCTAGCCTCTCTACTGCTAGCCTCTCCACTGCTCGCCTCTCCACTGCTAGCCTCTCCACTGCTAGCCTCTCCACTGCTAGCCTCTCTACCGCTAGCCTCTCCACTGCTCGCCTCTCCACTGCTAGCCTCTCTACTGCTAGCCTCTCCACTGCTAGCCTCTCTACTGCTAGCCTCTCCACTGCTAGCCTCTCCACTGCTAGCCTCTCTACTGCTAGCCTCTCCACCGCTAGCCTCTCTACCGCTAGCCTCTCCACCGCTAGCCTCTCCACCGCTAGCCTCTCTACCGCTAGCCTCTCCACCGCTAGCCTCTCCACCGCTAGCCTCTCCACCGCTAGCCTCTCCACCGCTAGCCTCTCTACCGCTAGCCTCTCTACCGCTCGCCTCTCTACCGCTAGCCTCTCCACTGCTAGCCTCTCCACCGCTCGCCTCTCTACCGCTCGCCTCTCTACCGCTAGCCTCTCTACCGCTCGCCTTTCCACCGCTAGCCTCTCGACTGCTAGCCTCTCCACCGCTAGCCTCTCCACCGCTAGCCTCTCTACCGCTCGCCTCTCTACCGCTCGCCTCTCTACCGCTATCCTCTCTACCGCTAGCCTCTCTACCGCTAGCCTCTCTACCGCTAGCCTCTCTACCGCTCGCCTCTCTACCGCTAGCCTCTCCACCGCTAGCCTCTCTACCGCTAGCCTCTCTACCGCTAGCCTCTCTACCGCTAGCCACTCTACTGCTAGCCTCTCTACCGCTAGCCTCTCCACTGCTAGCCTCTCTACTGCTAGCCTCTCCACTGCTCGCCTCTCCACTGCTAGCCTCTCCACTGCTAGCCTCTCCACTGCTAGCCTCTCTACCGCTAGCCTCTCCACTGCTCGCCTCTCCACTGCTAGCCTCTCTACTGCTAGCCTCTCCACTGCTAGCCTCTCTACTGCTAGCCTCTCCACTGCTAGCCTCTCCACTGCTAGCCTCTCTACTGCTAGCCTCTCCACCGCTAGCCTCTCTACCGCTAGCCTCTCCACCGCTAGCCTCTCCACCACTAGCCTCTCTACTGCTAGCCTCTCCACCGCTAGCCTCTCCACCGCTAGCCTCTCCACCGCTAGCCTCTCCACCGCTAGCCTCTCTACCGCTAGCCTCTCTACCGCTCGCCTCTCTACCGCTAGCCTCTCTACCGCTCGCCTTTCCACTGCTAGCCTCTCGACTGCTAGCCTCTCCACCGCTAGCCTCTCTACCGCTAGCCTCTCCACCGCTAGCCTCTCTACCGCTAGCCTCTCTACCGCTCGCCTCTCTACCGCTCGCCTCTCTACTGCTAGCCTCTCTACTGCTCGCCTCTCTACTGCTAGCCTCTCCACCGCTAGCCTCTCCACCGCTCGCCTCTCCACCGCTCGCCTCTCTACCGCTAGCCTCTCTACTGCTCGCCTCTCCACCGCTAGCCTCTCTACCGCTAGCCTCTCCACCGCTAGCCTCTCTACTGCTAGCCTCTCCACTGCTAGCCTCTCCACTGCTAGCCTCTCTACTGCTAGCCTCTCCACCGCTCGCCTCTCCACCGCTAGCCTCTCCACCGCTAGCTTGTCTACTGCTCGCCTCTCTACCGCTAGCCTCTCCACCGCTAGCCTCTCCACTGCTCGCCTCTCACTGCTAGCCTCTCTACCGCTAGCCTCTCCACCGCTAGCCTCTCCACCGCTAGCCTCTCCACCGCTAGCCTCTCCACCGCTCGCCTCTCTACCGCTCGCCTCTCTACCGCTAGCCTCTCCACCGCTAGCCTCTCCACCGCTAGCCTCTCCACCGCTCGCCTCTCCACTGCTAGCCTCTCCACTGCTAGCCTCTCTACTGCTAGCCTCTCCACTGCTAGCCTCTCCACTGCTCGCCTCTCCACCGCTAGCCTCTCCACCGCTAGCCTCTCCACCGCTAGCCTCTCTACCGCTAGCCTCTCTACCGCTAGCCTCTCCACCGCTAGCCTCTCCACCGCTCGCCTCTCCACCGCTCGCCTCTCTACCGCTAGCCTCTCCACTGCTCGCCTCTCCACTGCTAGCCTCTCTACTGCTAGCCTCTCCACTGCATGCCTCTCGACCGCTAGCCTCTCCACCGCTAGCCTCTCTACCGCTAGCCTCTCCACTGCTCGCCTCTCTACCGCTAGCCTCTCCACCGCTAGCCTCTCCACCGCAAGCCTCTCCACCGCTCGCCTCTCCACCGCTAGCCTCTCCACCGCTAGCCTCTCTACCGCTAGCCTCTCCACCGCTAGCCTCTCCACCGCTAGCCTCTCCACCGCTCGCCTCTCTACTGCTCGCCTCTCCACCGCTAGCCTCTCCACCGCTCGCCTCTCCACCACTAGCCTCTCCACCGCTAGCCTCTCCACCGCTCGCCTCTCTACTGCTAGCCTCTCCACCGCTAGCCTCTTTACCGCTAGCCTCTCTACCGCTAGCCTCTCCACTGCTCGCTCTCCACTGCTAGCCTCTCCACTGCTAGCCTCTCTACTGCTAGCCTCTCCACTGCTAGCCTCTCCACTGCTCGCCTCTCTACTGCTCGCCTCTCTACCGCTAGCCTCTCCACCGCTAGCCTCTCCACCGCTAGACTCTCTACCGCTAGCCTCTCTACCGCTCGCCTCTCTACCGCTCGCCTCTCTACCGCTAGCCTCTCCACCGCTAGCCTCTCCACCGCTCGCCTCTCCACCGCTAGCCTCTCCACCGCTAGCCTCTCCACCGCTAGCCTCTCCACCGCTAGCCTCTCCACCGCTAGCCTCTCCAACGCTAGCCTCTCCACCGCTAGCCTCTCCACCGCTCGCCTCTCTACCGCTAGCCTCTCCACCGCTAGCCTCTCCACCGCTAGCCTCTCCACCGCTAGCCTCTCCACCGCTAGCCTCTCCACCGCTAGCCTCTCCACCGCTCGCCTCTCTACCGCTAGCCTCTCTACCGCTAGCCTCTCTACCGCTAGCCTCTCTACCGCTAGCCTCTCCACCGCTAGCCTCTCCACCGCTAGCCTCTCCACCGCTAGCCTCTCCACCGCTAGCCTCTCCACCGCTAGCCTCTCCACCGCTAGCCTCTCTATCGCTCGCCTCTCTACCGCTAGCCTCTCTACCGCTAGCCTCTCCACTGCTAGCCTCTCTACTGCTAGCCTGTCCACCGCTAGCCTCTCCACCGCTAGCCTCTCCACCGCTAGCCTCTCCACCGCTCGCCTCTCCACCGCTAGCCTCTCCACCGCTAGCCTCTCCACCGCCAGCCTCTCCACCGCCCGCCTCTCCACCGCTCGCCTCTCTACCGCTAGCCTCTCCACCGCTGGCCTCTCCACCGCTGGCCTCTCCACCGCTAGCCTCTCCACCGCTGGCCTCTCCACTGCTGGCCTCTCCACTGCTGGCCTCTCCACTGCTGGCCTCTCCACTGCTGGCCTCTCCACTGCTAGACTCTCCACTGCTAGCCTCTCTACTGCTAGCCTCTCCACTGCTGGCCTCTCCACTGCTGGCCTCTCCACTGCTGGCCTCTCTACCGCTAGCCTCTCTACCGCTAGCCTCTCCACCGCTAGCCTCTCCACCGCTAGCCTCTCCACCGCTCGCCTCTCCACCGCTCGCCTCTCCACCGCTAGCCTCTCCACCGCTCACCTCTCCACCGCTAGCCTCTCCACCGCTAGCCTCTCCACCGCTAGCCTCTCCACTGCTAGCCTCTCTACTGCTAGCCTCTCCACTGCTAGCCTCTCCACTGCTCGCATCTCCACCGCTAGCCTCTCCACCGCTAGCCTCTCCACCGCTAGCCTCTCTACCGCTAGCCTCTCCACCGCTAGCCTCTCCACTGCTCGCCTCTCCACTGCTAGCCTCTCTACTGCTAGCCTCTCCACTGCTAGCCTCTCCACTGCTAGCCTCTCGACCGCTAGCCTCTCCACCGCTAGCCTCTCTACCGCTAGCCTCTCCACCGCTCGCCTCTCTACCGCTAGCCTCTCCACCGCTAGCCTCTCCACCGCAAGCCTCTCCACCGCTCGCCTCTCCACCGCTCGCCTCTCCACCGCTAGCCTCTCCACCGCTAGCCTCTCCACCGCTAGCCTCTCTACCGCTAGCCTCTCCACCGCTAGCCTCTCCACCGCTAGCCTCTCCACCGCTCGCCTCTCTACTGCTCGCCTCTCCACCACTAGCCTCTCCACCGCTAGCCTCTCCACCGCTCGCCTCTCTACTGCTAGCCTCTCCACCGCTAGCCTCTTTACCGCTAGCCTCTCTACCGCTAGCCTCTCCACTGCTCGCTCTCCACTGCTAGCCTCTCCACTGCTAGCCTCTCTACTGCTAGCCTCTCCACTGCTAGCCTCTCCACTGCTCGCCTCTCTACTGCTCGCCTCTCTACCGCTAGCCTCTCTACCGCTAGCCTCTTTACCGCTCGCCTCTCTACCGCTAGCCTCTCCACCGCTAGCCTCTCCACCGCTAGCCTCTCCACCGCTAGCCTCTCCAACGCTAGCCTCTCCACCGCTAGCCTCTCCACCGCTCGCCTCTCTACCGCTCGCCTCTCTACCGCTAGCCTCTCTACCGCTAGCCTCTCCACCGCTAGCCTCTCTACCGCTAGCCTCTCCACTGCTAGCCTCTCTACCGCTAGCCTCTCCACTGCTAGCCTCTCTACCGCTAGCCTCTCCACCGCTAGCCTCTCTACCGCTAGCCTCTCCACTGCTAGCCTCTCTACCGCTAGCCTCTCCACCGCTAGCCTCTCTACCGCTAGCCTCTCTACCGCTAGCCTCTCCACCGCTAGCCTCTCCACCGCTAGCCTCTCCACCGCTAGCCTCTCCACCGCTCGCCTCTCTGTAATATCCTTGAATGAGACCGACACTTCGTAGAGGCCACACGCTTTTATTCCGATAACACTAGCCCTCAGGACTCACTGGGGAGACAGTCCCACACACACAACCTAGGGAGGTACAGCCTCCGTCTCTATTCTCATTTCTCTCCTTCCCTAACCTCCAGCTACTCTGTCACTCTCTTCCCTAGCCTACAGCTACTCTGTCACTCTCTTCCCTAGCCTACAGCTACTCAGCCCACTCAGTTCCAGCGGGGCGGCATCCTTGAGGCTTGGGGGTCCAGGATCTCCGGCTCTCCTTCTTCAGCTTCTCCTCCGATCGCCCCCTCCGCTCTCTCGGGAGCCGTCTTATATATCCCCTCTCTCTGAGGGGCGGGGGTGTCTCGGGCCCTGGCTCTCGCCAGCCCCCTCCCCTCAGAGCCGTTCCAACCACCTCTCGTCCCCGTCAATCCGGGCCGGTCCAGATCGGTACGTACCTCTCCCCTAGCTTGTGTGACTTGTGTGACCTGTGTCAACCTTGGTGTCAACCTTGACCACCACATCACCCCCCCCTATACAGCACGCAGCCGTCCCGGCTGCATCACTATCCACATCCCAACCCTAACTCGCGAACCAGGAATTCTGAACATGACAATAACAATGCGTGAGCCTCAACACAACAATAACAACAACAGAACAACAACAACAACACAACTATCCCCGATAAATTACCCCAACCCCCCTGTACACAAGAACACCGCGGACACACCACACCAACGAACAAGGTGACTCGAACACCCAGGCCCCGTGAGGAGGCAGTGTGTCTGCGACAGGTCTCAGGAGAACCTGAGACCCTTCGAACGAGTCCGTGTGGCGGGTCCATCGCCAGAAGCCAGCGTTCCTTGCGGAGGGTCAGGAGGGCCCAGATGACGGGCGTCCGGCACGTTTCGAGGCCCCGGGGACACAGCCCGCGAGCCGTCTTCCTGCTGGACAGGCGGCCGGCTCGCTTCCCGCTCCTCTGGCGAGACCACCCTAGGTGGACTCACACCTGCAGCATCCGAAAGAGTGGCAGGGGGTTTTGGAACAACAAGGGGGTCACGAGGCCCCTCCCCCAACCTGCCGGACACGTCACGCGGCCGGCCCCTGCGAGATGAAGGTGTGTGAGTGCGTGGTGCGACATAGGGCTTCAGGCGCGAGGGGTGCACGTACCAAGAACGCCGTCCGCACGCGACCCTAACACACTGGTCCCGAACGACCCGAACAATGTCGACCGGCCCCCGCCAGGGCCGCAGCAATTTCGATGACGTCGACAGCGGCACCTGCGGGCAGTGCAGCCACGCCTTATCCCCTACCGCCCATTTATACACCGTAACCCGGCGATCATACAGACGCTCATTGGCCCGTTGCCTTGCCCTGGAATTTTCCTGCGCGGCCACCCTCGCCTCGACCAACTTCCGAATATTGAACTGAGCGTGTTCGGACAGTTTCGAGCGAGAAGCCGCAGACTGGACCCGCAATTGCACCTCCACGGGGGGGTCGACTTCCCTGCCGTACATTAAGTAGAAGGGCGAATAGCCCGTGGCCGCGTGAGGCGCTAACCTATATGCGGCCAGAACTCCGGGAATCCTCAGGTCCCAATCCAACTGTGTGTCGTCTACCTGATGACACAACATAGAGGTAATGGTCCGGTGTAGACGTTCGACCATACCATCGGTCTGCGGGTGGTAGGGGGAAGTCCGGACCTTCTGTGTGCACAAAAGGTCACAAACCTCCCGCAGAAGATTGGACGAAAAGTTCTTTCCCTGGTCGGTTAGCAGCCGTTCCGGGGCACCCTTATCCAGGACGTAGCCCTGGAGAAACGCCTCCGCAATGGCTGCTGCCGACTGGTTGGGGAGGGGCCAGGCCATAGGCCAACGGGTGAAATATTCAACCCCAACCAGCAGGTACTTATTTCCCCGAGCGGTGACAGGGAAGGGACCCAGAATGTCAAGAGCCACCAACTCATTAACCCGGGACACCTGAATAGATTGAAGGGGTGGGCAAGCCGCCCTAGCCGGGTGTTTCCGCCGCGCACACTGTGTGCAACTATTCAAAAGGTCGGCGACATCGCGCGCCATTCCCGGCCAAAAAAAATCCAATTGCAGTGTAGCGAGCGTTTTGTGAATACCTAAATGCAGGACGCGTTCGTGCGCCGCCCACACGGCCCTGCCCCGCAGAGCGGTGGGGACGACGATTCTGTAACGCCCCGAGCTGGCGTCCCATGACATGAGGAGACCCTCCCGCAACCTGACAGTACCTACCCTTTCCTGACAATCTCCCCCTCTCTCCGCACGACGGCGTAACCTGAGGAGGGAATTGTCTTCCATCTGGAACCGTCCCCATTCGTCCAGAGGCAGATCGAGGAGTGAGTCGCGAGCGACCAACACCTGCGAGTCCCCCTCGGCGACAGGTTCCCCATCGACCACCCCTGCTGCCCCTGCCAAGGGAGAAGCCGGAGCGGTACTCGTGGCCGATTTGCATCTCCCCGAGCCCATAAAACACGCGCACCCATCACCCGGAGGAAGGCGTGACAAGCCATCCGCGTTCAAATGTTGTGTCCCCTTCCGGTACACCACCGTGAACGTGTAGTCCTGTAGGACCTCAAGCCAACGTGACAGCTGGCCGGACGGCTGGTCTATCTTCAACGCATACTGTAGCGCGGCGTGATCGGAACGAACCGTAAAATGCCTACCGTACAGGTACGGTCGATATTGTTGAACAAACACGACAATAGCGAGCAGTTCACGGCGGGTGACGCAATAACGTTGCTCTGCCGGAGACAGGACCCTACTGCCGTAGGCAACGACCCGTTCGACCCCGTTGACAACCTGCGAAAGCACCCCGCCGATGCCGGTATTGCTGGCATCGGTGTCCAGGATGAAGGGCAACGTGAAATCGGGATAGCACAAGGGAGGAGCTCGGACAAGGGCATCGCGAAGCGCCCTGAACGCCCTGTCTTCCTCATCCCCCCAATGGAACTTAGCCCCCTTAGCCGTCAGAGCATGAAGGGGTTTGGCGATCGTCGCAAACCCCTCAACAAACCGGCGGTAATAGGACGCAAAGCCTATAAAGCTGCGGACTTCCCCCACCGACGTGGGCGTGGGCCACGACCTTACACAGTCAGTTTTAGCAGGATCGGTGGCTATACCCGTAGAACTGACAACGTGGCCGAGGTACCGCACCGATTCACGCAACAGGAAACATTTCTGAGGCTTAAATTTAAGATTAGCCGATCGCACTCTGAGAAATACAGCCCGCAGTCTGTCCAGATGTTCCTCAAACGTACGGCTGAAAATAATCACGTCGTCCAGATATATAAGACAAGAGTCCCACTGCAGGCCAGCGAGGACCAGTTCCATCAATCTCTGGAACGTCGCTGGAGCTGAGTGCAATCCCATGGGCAACCGGTTGAACTGATAAAGGCCCTGTGGTGTACGGAACGCGGTCTTAGGTTTGGAAGCGTCATCCAAGGGCAGTTGCCAAAACCCTGACAAAAGGTCCAAGGTAGAAAAATACCGTGCCCCCGCCAAGGCATCGAGCGACTCGTCCATGCGAGGGAGTGGATACGCGTCCGCCAGCGAAACCTTGTTAAGCTTCCGGAAATCCACACAAAACCTCAAACTGCCATCATGTTTTTTAACAAGCACAATGGGCGCACCCCATGGGCTGTTGGAGGGAGCCACAATGTCTGCGGCAAGCATGTCATTCACTGCCAACCGGACATGTTCCTTCTCTGCCGGACTTAATCGGAACGGATTTTGCCGAATGGGAGCAGAATCCCCCGTATCAATGTGGTGTTTCAATAGATTAGTGCACCCAACATCGAATTTGTGTTTGCTAAAAACATCGGGAAAATCACGAAGCAACATGCGCAGCTTGAATCTTTGTGACTCTGAAAGATTTTCAGCCCCTGAACAGAGAGAATCCATCCATGCCTCATCGACACCCACCTGCGTCCCGGACGCCGGCGCCTCACCGACATGAGCTGCAACGGAGTCAGTGTGCAGCGGCAGCGACGCATGTGCAATGACAGCCCCTCGGTGCACGACCTTCGTCCGCAATCCCGCATTCAGCACCTGAATGAAGGGCTGTCCATCTCTAGGAACAAGCGTTTGTGCACCCACCAGGTCCAACCCTCGCTCGGTCGCATTTGAAGGAGATAACAAAACCCCCGATGTAGCGTCTGCCTCCAGTGGTTTGCGCAACTGAAGCGGTATCAGCATCTGCGCACCCGGCGGAATCCGCACGGTTTCAGACGCCATAGCCGGAACGGTCGTGCAAGCTGTGCGCAGCCGGTTTGGTGAAGGCAGAAACGCCATCCGGCGGCCCGAAGGAAGCTCGATGCAGCCTTTGTCAATCAAAATTTTGATGGGCATCCTCCCCAAGAAATCCGTACCCAACAGACAGGGAACGGCCAAGGCATCGGAAACCAAAATGGGACCAGATAATTTAATGTCGCCAATACAAATTTGGGCAGTTATTTGGCCAATAATCCCCAGGGAACCCCCATTTGCCGCAAAGCAAGGGACGGAGAACGGGGTGAGTGCCTGACATCTCTTTGGTAACACGTTGTATATGAGGTCGGAGATTATAGTAGCCGAAGCCCCCGTATCGACCAACAATCGAAATTGAATTCCCTCAATATCCCCGAGAATAACCGACGAGCCCGTCGCCGCGGCCACTACCCTGTGGGCCAACTCGGACCACTGAGCCACGCGAAGTGGCCCCCGAACATCAGCCCCATTCCGCTCCCCACCCCTCAACGCAACGCGATCTACTGGCGCGCCGAATCGCGGTGTATGAGATGCGGGCAGGGACCGTGTGCGTGAGGTGTCGCGACATGCCTGGGGGTCTTGTGGAGCGGCCGGCGGACGGGCGGACGATGGTGGATGACCCGAAGCCCGGCGCCGGGGTGCAGGGCAACCCGATGCCAGGTGACCCAGCTGGCCACAGTTGTAGCACGTGACGCCGGCCAACGCCCGCGGGGGTCCGTGTCTCCCCCGGGTTTCCCCTTGGCGAGGCCGGTCGGCCCCCCTCCAACTGGCGGCCCGCTGTGACGCGAAGGCCTGGGCATCCGGGACCTCGTCAACTCTTGCAGCGGCGCACGCAGCCACCTGCCCATCCCGCTGGAGGAGCAACTCTGTGTGCAGGTAATGTGCCGCCCCCAGCGAGGAAAGGTTAGCTTCATCTTTGACGTGGATGGCAATCCTCAGTTCCCGAGCCAGCAGCAGCAACTTCTCAAGCACGATGGAGTCCAGGCCCACATCGTCCATTCGAGGATAGGCTGCTTGAGCCAACGCCATCAGTGCACTCTGATAGGCAAGAGGTGTCTCGTCCGCCTCCCTCCTCCGACTGGCGAAACGATGTCTAGTTTCGGATGGAGGTCCATACACTAAGGCCATCCGATCGAGGGCCTCCTGCAAAGTGGAGCGTTGCCTCCGTGGAATAAGGAGGAACGTGGCCAAGGCCACGTCGTCCAAGGCGGAAGGCAGGGCTCGGAGAGCGATGTCAGCAGACCACCCAGCCGTCTCGGCATTTGCCACGAAACGGCGTGAAAAAGCAGCCCAGTCCCCCCCCTTTGCCGTGAAAACCTGAAGCGAAGGCAAGCGCTGTTGTAGCGCCGGGATGTAGTCCCCCCTTGAAGACAGCAGCGTCCCAAGTGCAGTATGTGAAGCATCTTGCGGCGGCAGAATATCAGACGGAATCGGCGGGCACCTACCCGAAAACTCTGCTTCTCCCGGTGTAAGGCCGCAGATGGCGGATGTGACGCGAGGCACCTCTGCCCCCTGACCTCCTGGGCGGTTGACGTCATGTCCTCCGGAAGCGGTGACCCCCCCGGCGGAAGTGACGTCATCCCCGGCGGCCGCATCCCCGGCGGAAGTGACGTCTCCCCCTCCGGAGGTGACGTCAAAGTTTTGCGCGGGAATGGCGCGTTTCTCGGCGGGAACCCGTCCCATCCTTCGGCCTGGTACTCCACCCGGCGCTCCCGCTCCCCCCAGCGTGAGCTCGTCGAGGATGGAGGCAGCGGCATGGAGGAGATCGGCCAGCCGGGCATGGGCTGACTGGATCGCCCATCCCGACGTCGGCGGACTCCTGGAGGGCCCCGGAGAACCCGAGCCCGCCCCCGCAGACCCGTCCCCCGGAAATGGCGCTCCCGCCTCCGGCTCAGCGTCTCCCTCGACGTCCTTCTCCTGGCCCCTGGTGAGCGTTTTCTGCCTTGTCTCCATGTCGGCGAGGTTCTTTGGCCGCTTCTAACACCAAATGTAATATCCTTGAATGAGACCGACACTTCGTAGAGGCCACACGCTTTTATTCCGATAACACTAGCCCTCAGGACTCACTGGGGAGACAGTCCCACACACACAACCTAGGGAGGTACAGCCTCCGTCTCTATTCTCATTTCTCTCCTTCCCTAACCTCCAGCTACTCTGTCACTCTCTTCCCTAGCCTACAGCTACTCTGTCACTCTCTTCCCTAGCCTACAGCTACTCAGCCCACTCAGTTCCAGCGGGGCGGCATCCTTGAGGCTTGGGGGTCCAGGATCTCCGGCTCTCCTTCTTCAGCTTCTCCTCCGATCGCCCCCTCCGCTCTCTCGGGAGCCGTCTTATATATCCCCTCTCTCTGAGGGGCGGGGGTGTCTCGGGCCCTGGCTCTCGCCAGCCCCCTCCCCTCAGAGCCGTTCCAACCACCTCTCGTCCCCGTCAATCCGGGCCGGTCCAGATCGGTACGTACCTCTCCCCTAGCTTGTGTGACTTGTGTGACCTGTGTCAACCTTGGTGTCAACCTTGACCACCACATCTCTACTGCTCGCCTCTCCACCGCTAGCCTCTCCACCGCTCGCCTCTCTACCGCTCGCCTCTCCACCGCTAGCCTCTCCACCGCTAGCCTCTCCACCGCTCGCCTCTCTACTGCTAGCCTCTCCACCGCTAGCCTCTTTACCGCTAGCCTCTCTACCGCTAGCCTCTCCACTGCTCGCTCTCCACTGCTCGCTCTCCACTGCTAGCCTCTCCACTGCTAGCCTTTCTACTGCTAGCCTCTCCACTGCTCGCCTCTCTACTGCTCGCCTCTCTACCGCTAGCCTCTCTACCGCTAGCCTCTCTACCGCTAGCCTCTCCACCGCTAGCCTCTCCACCGCTAGCCTCTCCACCGCTAGACTCTCTACCGCTAGCCTCTCTACCGCTCGCCTCTCTACCGCTAGCCTCTCCACCGCTAGCCTCTCCACCGCTCGCCTCTCTACCGCTAGCCTCTCCACCTCTAGCCTCTCCACCGCTAGCCTCTCCACCGCTAGCCTCTCCAACGCTAGCCTCTTCACCGCTAGCCTCTCCACCGCTCGCCTCTCCACCGCTCGCCTCTCTACCGCTAGCCTCTCTACCGCTAGCCTCTCCACCGCTAGCCTCTCTACCGCTAGCCTCTCCACTGCTAGCCTCTCTACCGCTAGCCTCTCCACTGCTAGCCTCTCTACCGCTAGCCTCTCTACCGCTAGCCTCTCCACTGCTAGCCTCTCTACTGCTAGCCTCTCTACCGCTAGCCTCTCCACCGCTAGCCTCTCCACCGCTAGCCTCTCTACCGCTCGCCTCTCTACCGCTAGCCTCTCTACTGCTAGCCTCTCCACTGCTAGCCTCTCTACTGCTAGCCTCTCCACTGCTAGCCTCTCTACTGCTAGCCTCTCCACTGCTAGCCTCTCCACCGCTAGCCTCTCCACTGCTAGCCTCTCTACTGCTCGCCTCTCTACTGCTAGCCTCTCTACTGCTCGCCTCTCTACTGCTAGCCTCTCTACTGCTAGCCTCTCTACTGCTAGCCTCTCTACCGCTAGCCTCTCTACCGCTAGCCTCTCCACCGCTAGCCTCTCTACCGCTAGCCTCTCCACTGCTAGCCTCTCTACCGCTAGCCTCTCCACTGCTAGCCTCTCTACCGCTAGCCTCTCCACCGCTAGCCTCTCTACCGCTAGCCTCTCCACTGCTAGCCTCTCTACCGCTAGCCTCTCCACCGCTAGCCTCTCTACCGCTAGCCTCTCTACCGCTAGCCTCTCCACCGCTAGCCTCTCCACCGCTAGCCTCTCCACCGCTAGCCTCTCCACCGCTCGCCTCTCTACTGCTCGCCTCTCCACCGCTAGCCTCTCCACCGCTCGCCTCTCTACCGCTCGCCTCTCCACCGCTAGCCTCTCCACCGCTAGCCTCTCCACCGCTCGCCTCTCTACTGCTAGCCTCTCCACCGCTAGCCTCTTTACCGCTAGCCTCTCTACCGCTAGCCTCTCCACTGCTCGCTCTCCACTGCTCGCTCTCCACTGCTAGCCTCTCCACTGCTAGCCTTTCTACTGCTAGCCTCTCCACTGCTCGCCTCTCTACTGCTCGCCTCTCTACCGCTAGCCTCTCTACCGCTAGCCTCTCTACCGCTAGCCTCTCCACCGCTAGCCTCTCCACCGCTAGCCTCTCCACCGCTAGACTCTCTACCGCTAGCCTCTCTACCGCTCGCCTCTCTACCGCTAGCCTCTCCACCGCTAGCCTCTCCACCGCTCGCCTCTCTACCGCTAGCCTCTCCACCTCTAGCCTCTCCACCGCTAGCCTCTCCACCGCTAGCCTCTCCAACGCTAGCCTCTTCACCGCTAGCCTCTCCACCGCTCGCCTCTCCACCGCTCGCCTCTCTACCGCTAGCCTCTCTACCGCTAGCCTCTCCACCGCTAGCCTCTCTACCGCTAGCCTCTCCACTGCTAGCCTCTCTACCGCTAGCCTCTCCACTGCTAGCCTCTCTACCGCTAGCCTCTCTACCGCTAGCCTCTCCACTGCTAGCCTCTCTACTGCTAGCCTCTCTACCGCTAGCCTCTCCACCGCTAGCCTCTCCACCGCTAGCCTCTCTACCGCTCGCCTCTCTACCGCTAGCCTCTCTACTGCTAGCCTCTCCACTGCTAGCCTCTCTACTGCTAGCCTCTCCACTGCTAGCCTCTCTACTGCTAGCCTCTCCACTGCTAGCCTCTCCACCGCTAGCCTCTCCACTGCTAGCCTCTCTACTGCTCGCCTCTCTACTGCTAGCCTCTCTACTGCTCGCCTCTCTACTGCTAGCCTCTCTACTGCTAGCCTCTCTACTGCTAGCCTCTCTACCGCTAGCCTCTCCACTGCTAGCCTCTCTACTGCTAGCCTCTCCATTGCTAGCCTCTCCACCGCTAGCCTCTCCACTGCTAGCCTCTCTACTGCTAGCCTCTCCACTGCTAGCCTCTCTACTGCTAGCCTCTCTACTGCTCGCCTCTCTACTGCTAGCCTCTCCACTGCTAGCTTGTCTACTGCTAGCCTGTCTACTGCTAGCTTGTCTACTGTTAGTCTCTCTACTACTAGCCTCTCTACTGCTAGCCTCTCTACTGCTAGCCTGTCTACTGCTCGCCTCTCTACTGCTAGCCTCTCCACCGCTAGCCTGTCTACTGCTCGCCTCTCTACTGCTAGCTTGTCTACTGCTAGTCTCTCTACTGCTAGCATCTCTACTGCTAGCCTCTCTACTGCTAGCCTCTCCACCGCTAGCCTCTCCACCGCTAGCCTCTCCACCGCTCGCCTCTCTACTGCTAGCCTCTCTACTGCTAGCCTCTCTACTGCTAGCCTCTCCACCGCTAGCCTCTCTACCGCTAGCCTCTCCACCGCTAGCCTCTCCACCGCTAGCCTCTCTACCGCTAGCCTCTCCACCGCTAGCCTCTCTATCGCTAGCCTCTCCACCGCTAGCCTCTCCACCGCTAGCCTCTCTACCGCTAGCCTCTCCACCGCTAGCCTCTCCACCGCTAGCCTCTCTACTGCTAGCCTCTCCACTGCTAGCCTCTCTACTGCTAGCCTCTCTACTGCTCGCCTCTCTACTGCTAGCCTCTCCACTGCTAGCCTGTCTACTGCTAGTCTCTCTACTACTAGCCTCTCTACTGCTAGCCTCTCTACTGCTAGCCTGTCTACTGCTCGCCTCTCTACTGCTAGCCTCTCCACCGCTAGCCTGTCTACTGCTCGCCTCTCTACTGCTAGCTTGTCTACTGCTAGTCTCTCTACTGCTAGCATCTCTACTGCTAGCCTCTCTACTGCTAGCCTCTCCACCGCTAGCCTCTCCACCGCTAGCCTGTCTACTGCTCGCCTCTCTACTGCTAGCTTGTCTACTGCTAGTCTCTCTACCGCTAGCCTCTCTACTGCTAGCCTCTCCACTGCTAGCCTCTCTACTGCTAGCCTCTCTACTGCTAGCCTCTCCACCGCTAGCCTCTCTACCGCTAGCCTCTCCACCGCTAGCCTCTCCACCGCTAGCCTCTCTACCGCTAGCCTCTCCACCGCTAGCCTCTCCACCGCTAGCCTCTCTACCGCTAGCCTCTCCACCGCTAGCCTCTCCACCGCTAGCCTCTCCACTGCTAGCCTCTCTACTGCTAGCCTCTCTACCGCTAGCCTCTCCACTGCTAGCCTCTCTACTGCTAGCCTCTCTACCGCTAGCCTCTCCACTGCTAGCCTCTCTACTGCTAGCCTTTCTACGCTCGCTTCTCTAACCTCGCCCTTGCTGGTGTGGAGGGCGGGGCCCCCAACTTCTCTTGTGTTCACTCTTCACTCCAACCCACCCCTGCCTCACACGTTGCCGTATTTATCCTGCTCCTCATTAAACGCCCTAATTAAGCTGGCGTCCTCCCGTCGCCTCTCGCGCTTGGCTTCCGCTGCTATCGCCTCAATCTGCAGACTCCGAGGCGCCTGCACCGTGTCTGCATTTGCAGCCAGCCAATCACCGCTATGCACCTTAATGTGTCGTCTCTCTCTGGATTGCTCTCACCGCACCTGTTTGCCCTGACGTGACTCTACTGTCCGCGGCTCACGCGTGCATGCACACTGCTTGCAAAACCCCGCGCGCGTTACTCCACTACATATTTACGCGATCTAACCCAAAAAACCTCTTATGGATGATATTGTGTTAAAATACTTATTATATTATGAATTACTATATTGCTAGTTGTTTTGTTATAGTATCACATTATTAATCATTATATTACGACACCTTCAATTATTATATCATTAATTGTATTGTTATTCATTATTATATATCACTAGTTATTTATTATATGATTAATTATTTTGACACCTTCAATCGCTTTATTATGGACGCCTTCAGTCACTCCTGCGATGTGTGCGAGCGCCGCGATTGCCTGCTCTTGCACGGAGACGAATCGTACGCGTTGACAAGGAGGCGGCGGCGGCAGCGATTATAGTGTCATAATAATCAATAATAATGCAATAATTTATAATCTAATTGTATTCATTATTTATCATATTAATAATATATGATATTAATAAAATTAATAGTAATATAATTAATCATATACTAATATAATATTATACTCTTTGGGTCTTTCGTCTTCAGGTGAAAAAATACAGCAGACGGACTGCTGAGGCAGGAAGAGATATCGCGAGAGAGCTACTGCAGCCAGAGGTTCTATAGGTTTGAGATGGGTACAACCCAAGGGTAAGTGGGCGGGGCTAGAGATGGAGTTTGCAAGTAAGTGTAAGATCGCAGAGCTCTCTATACCTCGGCCATTGTATTGGTAGAGATTAGCATGTCAATCTGTTAATGTAACCCCACGACTACGGTGCTGAAGCAGCCATTGCATTGCTCGAGATGAGAGATTAGCATGTCAATGTGAGACGGCTCCCACAGCAGCGGCCGTGTTGATGAGAGACATTCAGCCGATTAAACAACGAGCGCCGTCGAGGAAAATGGAGCAGTAGCTATGTTAGTGAGACATTTAGCCTGTTAATGTAAAAACATTTAACAAGGTAATAACTGCTTTTTTCACCTGAAGACGATTTCTCGTGTTGCGATCAAAACGTCGTGATTTTTATTATTATTTTTCTATCTACGTGACTTTACCGAATAACCCAAAGAGGATGAATTCCTGTAGTCACGAAAGCTTTAACTCAAGATTCAACATAATATTAATAACAATTAATAATATAAACATTTATAACATAGTAATTAATAGTATAATATAATAACTAATGAATAGTTTCATGATGTAATAATGATGTAATAATTTCATAGTTGTTATTATATTATAGAAATATAATAATCTTTTATTCAAGGGGTCATAATAAAGTGAGTGAAGGTGTCATAGTAAGCGACGAGCGCGTCGCTTAGAGCCGGGCGAGAAATGGGCCCGGCTCTGGTGCATTTGCGGTGCATGTGTGCCACGGAATACGCACCACGCGTGGCACACGGGGGGTACACACCGCCTTTAACAGACTAGTTGGGGTAAGTGCTGTTGGCGAGTAGCACCTATGAAGGCCGGCACGGTACACGAGAGGGTGGGGTGGAGTGACCAGCACCACGTGACTCGGACGGCGTTAATTTACTGGGCGCGTCACGTGGGACGTGTTTAACTGTCATCGGGCGCGTGCGGCGTGGAGCGAGGTAACGTGAATGGGGAGGAAATTGGTGGACGCGCACAGACGGAGTGTGATGGTGGGCTTGGGAAAGCCTGCATTAGGGGGGTCCGCCTAGGGCAGTGGTGCTTATCCTGGGGTGCGTGCACCCCCTGGGGGTGCGAGATGCCCTTTCTGGGGGTGCTAGACGTGGCCAGATTTGTTTTAAAGAAGGTCAATCATCGAAAACACATTAAGCACGGGCACGTAAGTACAGCTATAGTACTTTGTTTCATCAAACCCTATGTATTTATTATTAACATTATACATTTTTATCGATTGAGAACCAAAGGGGTGCAAGGCTGCAGTCAAGGCTATGAAATACTGGCCTAGGCAATAAATAAATATTGGTGCTCATCTCCCGTCTACAGCCCTGAGCCACTCGCTACAAATTCCACATTCCTATGGCGGGAGCAACTCTCTCCACAGAACAACCACAGCTGGCTTCTCTACAAAGTGGTATCTATTTGTATCGACCACGGAGGGATTATGGGCTGAGTTAACCCCCACCCAGAATTTAAACTCACAACCTCGGGGATTGCGGGCCACTGGCTCTACCGCTGGGCCACATGGCCCGGTGAAGGTCTTGGTATTGATGATGTTTATGATGATGATGTTGGTGATGATGGTATTGTTGATGATGGGATTGATGATGTTTATGATGGTATTGATGATCGTGGTGATGTTGGTGATGACGCAGCCCACCTGACCGTGTCGGTGGAGCACCGCGTCACCACGGCGACAGCGGGCGATGACGTCAGCCTGCGGTGCAACATTCGCACTGAGGGGGCGCTGCGCCAGGTCACGTGGTACAAGGTGACCTCTCCTCACGTCTCACCTCTCCTCACCCACTCACCTGCTCACCTCTCCTCACCCGCTCAACTCTCCTGACTTCTCCTCACCCACTCACCTATCCTGACCTCACCTCTCCTCACTTCTCTTCACCTCTCCTCACCTCTTCTCACTTCTCCTCACCCATTCACCTGCTCACCTCTCCTCACCCGCTCACCTCTCCTCACCCGCTCACCTCTCGTCACCACTTAAGCTCTCCTCACCCATTCACCTGCTCACCTCTTCTTACCCACTAACCTCCTCACCCCAAACCCTGCACCCGAATCTAACCCAATCCCGTAAAGGTTTGAAGCCTCTTGTTAACGATAACCCAAACTTGACTCTAAATACTGAACGTTAACCCGAACCATAAACAATGATATATAATCGTAGTTCTATTGCTGCCCCTAACTCTCCCCATACCCCTAACCCCAGATGAAATGTTAACCACCTCGTCTGGTGTACAGGAGGTCGTGGGTTCGACCCCTACCCTGACGCCTGCTGTATAATTGGAGTCTGCGTGTCTCTCTCTCTTCCCCCCCCGTGGTTGCGTGGATTTTTATCCGGGTCCTCCGGTTTTCCCATCCACATTTTAAAACATGCGTTAAGAGTGCTTGACAGCTGTAAATGTCCACGTGATGAGCACACGTCGTTGAACTTTTAATTTGTGGTAGCCAGGTCGCTTCTGGAAAAGAGCTGTATAGATCAGTGGGCCTTATCTGGTAAAATATAAATAGTATAGCTTATAGTTTAAACCCTCTCCATACCCCTAATTCCCCCTGCCCTCTCACCATGGCACAGGTGCTGGATGCTGGCGCGACGCGAGAGAAGATCTTCTCGTACGAGACGTTTTGGCCTCTCAACGACACGAAGTCTACTCCCAGGCAGATTCTCAGCCACCAGGCCACTGTGCGGTGAGTCGAACCAAACCAACCCTCCATCGTGACGCACAGGCGGCACACACGGGACAGACGGCTGCCATGGGGACGTTGTGGACGTGCTGGCCAATGGAGCGTTACCCTATGAATAACCCAACTGGTAACGCGCATCCATTTTAGTTTTTCTGCATATATTAACCCCCCCCCCCCTACTCTTGCTTTGGCCTTGGCACCTGATTGGCTCACAAGTGACAACATCAGTTCCATCCCTCTATTTGGTTGTTGTTTTAATTACCGTCACGACACTCGAATTGTAAATGTTGTAGTGGGTTTACTCTCCAACACAACTGGTGTTGCCGTACTAGTGTAGTGACTGACTTGGAGACGCAAGTTCTTGGAGACAGTTATTTCATTAAATTGAGCACACTTTGCACAATATACATGCTACGCTGGTACACACTCTTCTCCCTCTCATTTATACACAACTCTACATAAGTTGCTAGCCTATTCACAATGCTAGCCATCTGACACTGACAGCACTGAACTGAGACAGCCAACTACCGTCTAGCAGCGCAATATCAGGTGAAGACGACAGTGACGATGGCGATGAGACGACAGCGACGATGGCGACGATCTTCAACAGCAACGACGGGATCCCACTCCAAACGACAGCCCCGAGGTCCCCTCCCGGCGCCCCTCTTATACTGTCAGCATGGCCTGGCTCCGCCCCCAAGGCCACGCCCCCCTTCTGAAACCTACTCGCGGGTTCTCGACGTGTCCCTTCTCTAACATTTCCCCTACACCCCTCTCTGGTCTATCACGTGCCCTGCTGTCAGTCAGGGCTGCTGCAAGCTGTAGATCCCCGTCCCTGCCAGCAGCCAGCACAATGCTGCTTTGTGACGGATTCTATGTCACTACACTAGTAACGAATTTGCACGTTTTGTTTACGTGACAAACCTTACTGATTGGCTGTGTCGGGTGGTGGCGTGTTTAATGACACATTTATATTTACACGATCTAACCCCCCAAAAAACCCTTCTATTATGGATAATGGAGCCTCTTCGTTCTGTGGGCCCACGTTCAGATCCGGTAGCTTGGTGAGACTACTTTATCGGCGACGGGAAGAAAAAAAAACATCATCATCGGGGGCCGGGCCACGCAGAATCTCTCCACCACTCAACTGGCACGCCGCTGTGCAGACCCGAAGGCTCTGCGAGGTGGTGGTGCGACCTCCGGCATTGTTCCAACTCTGACTGTAACAAAGACAAACATCCCCCCCTCCCCCTTATAGCCCTAACAGACTGTTGGGGGGCAAGTGCAGTGAGTGAGTAGCACCGATGAGGGTCGGCACCGTGGCACACGAGGAGAGGTTGTGCATGTGGCCAGCCACCACGCTTTATGGCCAGCTTTGTTTCGCCAAAGTGCCGATGTTAACGCACCGCGATGGGTACTCGTTTATTTAAGGCCGAATCGACCTAGAGGAGGCCCAGGACCAGTTGATATATTTGCCACTGTTGTTGGTCATGAGCGATCATCGACATCGGAGTCGTTGGGTTTGTAGGGCAGTGCGCTAGTCACTACACTACTCATCATCATCACAATCCATGGGCAGAGGTGTCCACTGCACATTTCGTCATTTGTTTCCACTTTTCTCTTCGTCTTGTGCCAATATCCTCAAGCAGTTCCGCGTCTTTCTGGCGCCAATCTCTTTACGTCGTCACCAAGCCATTCCCTGAGAAGTCTTCCTCTCTTTCCGGTTCCTTCCATTTTTCCGAACAGCACCACTATTAATGTTCCTGTTGTTGTCCACCCTACTACGTGTGTCCCAACAGTGCCCAGTTTCCTTATCATCACTGCCTGCATCATCACCAGGTTGCCTTCCTCTATGGTGTAGCCCTTTTCTCACTTCTACGTTAGACACTCTTTGGGTCCAGCTTAGATGCAGCAGCAGTATAATTCTGTCGAAATACATTTCCAGTGCCAATATCTTATCTCTGTCAGTCTTTTATAATGTCCAAATCTCGCAGGCATTCAAAGCTGTACTGAACACGCATGTTTATTAAGATGATCTGTTTGGTCATGTAGCTGACTTGCTTGCTTCTCCAGATGTTATTAAATCCTGTCACTACTCCTTTTGCTTTTGGGATTCTCGCTTTCATTTATTTTGTGCAGACGTTGTGTCATGTTAGTAGACTTTCCAAGTTTACAAATTCCTTTACATTCACACTTTTTTTCTGCTTTCTAGTCTTACTTCTTTCTTAATGGCCTCCCTTCCGAAGACCACCGTCTTTGTCTTTTCCACATTAATCCTCAGTTCTGCATCCTTTCCTGACTTATTCAGCAGTACAAACACTTTCCTGCAGTACCACACAATGTTTTTTCTTCAGATCTACATCGTCCGCGAATCTCAGGGTATTTATTATTTCTTCTTGCACATATATTCCTGTGCCATTGTCCTGAATGGCATCCATCATTCTCGCCAACTATGGGACGATGTTGTTTGGTGATAGTGGATCCCCCAGTCGTAGACCTATTGTTTTTGGGAACCATTCTCTTATTTTCTGTCCCAACTTTTACTGCTGACTTTGACCTTTTACCTCTATCCTGCAGAATCTGCGTTAGTCTTTTCCCTACTCCATACGATCATCATGTTGCACATGTTATAGCTTTCTCAGTCGAATCGAATGCTTTCTGGAAATCTACGAAGCAGTTGTAAAGCAGCATATCCTTTCTCTTTGCTTTCTCTGCTATAAGTCTTCACATCAAGATTTGCTGCACCGTGTTCCTATTTTTCCTAAAATCGCCTGTTCGTCTGACAAATAATCCTCAGTCTGTGCTGAGGATAGGGTGCAGGGGGGGTGCCGGCTTTGGGAACGGGGTTCCAAGGGGCCATGGCACTCTGGTTGACCCCGGAGGACACGTGACCGGGGGCGTCTACCCGAGGACCCCCAAAAGGGGGGCTGGGGGGACCACTTGTCCAGCAGAGATCCTTCTCGATGGTTTGAGGAGGTCGTGGCTAGGGGCGGAGTGAGCCCTGCCACGGGGGATAAAAGCCAGGCTCTCAGTGGGACCGGCTGCTGTCGTGATCCTGAAGAATCGAGGTGCAACTCCTCCGCTTGAAGACAAGACCGACACGGACCTGGACCCAAGCTTGGGTCCAGTCCATCGTAGCTACTCCCAGTATAGTTAGTGTAGTTAGCTTGGTGGACCACCACCATAGGTTAATATCTGGTGAAGGGGCAGTTACCCCTTTGTGTATAGTGTTGGTGTTAATAAATGTATTGCCTCCAATGTTAAGCCTGAGTCTCCGTTTGAGCCCACTACACAGGGAACGAAGAAGAAGTGTGACTTGCTCATGTTTCCTCAGTCCACACAAAACCCCGGGGCAGTAGAGTTTTTGGACAAGCTGCAACCTCATTTAAAACATTCCGTGTCGCACCAACTGAACAGGGCGTTTTGATGAAATGAGAAGCATTGTGCCACCAACATCCAGCGTTTGGTGAGAAATGATCGAACGCGTGAAATATTTCGCAGGCGAAAGAAGGGAAAGACCTTCAGTCAGATTCCTTGCGTGATGCTCAACAAATATCTCTCAGGTGAAAGGAGGAGATCTTCGGTCAGATTCCTTACGTGACACTCAAACAAGTCAAGGCGGCATAGAAAAATTACCTTGGGGTTCTCGATACCTTTGATGATGATGATGTGATTTCAAGATCATCAATCATTATACTTAACCCATTTACTCGATGAAGCAGGTTGAGGGGAACCCGGCAACATGACCTCGGTTTTGTCACGGTTAAGTGTCAGGAAATTTGTATTCATCCACACCCTGACCCTGGAGAGACACTGAGACAGGACTGAAACAGTGGAATCAGTACCGGCTTAGTCTGCAGATGTGTCGTCGGCATAAACATGATCATTCAGACCATGGTGACTGAAAATGCTCCCAAGAGGCAACATAGAGATGGAAAATAACAAAGAGCCCTAAAATCGACCTCTGGAGGATACCAGTGACGACTGGGCAAGTTTCAGATGTGTGGCCCCCTAACGTGTCAAACTGTTTCCGATCGGCCAGAGAGGCGATAGGCCAGGAAAGAGCTGCACCACTGATGCCAATCGGAGTCTCGATGCTCTTGAGCAGACGGTAGTTTAACACCACACTAAGATCCAACAACACCAGGCTCAAAAGTAAGCCCGAATCAGAGGTCATGAAAATATCATTGACCACCTTAACAAGCACTGTCTCAGTACTGTGCAGTGGCCTAAACGCAGACCGGAATGGCCCAAAGAGGTTGTGGTTTGTAAGATGTTCCTGCAACTGCTGAGCTACCACATGGTTCCAAGATTTTTGACAAAAATGGAAGATGTGAAATCGGCCTACAGTCTGACACAACATTGGAGTCGAGACCTGGCTGCTTTTAATTATGGTGAAATGGAAGCCAGTTTAACGACACTGGCATGACTTCTGGGCCTGCCTGAGCTGGCTCATTACTGCGATGGTTCTGTCATTTTTACAATGGGTGAGCTCTCCTTTCTTGGGTATCGTCACAAGTATGGATTTTGTCCACTCCTCTGGTATTTCATCTTCTCTCGATACTTGCTCGACAGACCTGTTCTTCACCTGAGGACGGCTGCTTGCGTTGTGGCCGAAACGTCGTGAGAATTATTTTATTATGTTTTATTTTTATTATTTTATTATTTCAATTCTACGTGACTTTACCGAAAGAACCAAGAAGATGAATCCCTGCAGTCACGAAAGCTTTAAATCGAAACTAGCTTGCATAGTTTGTGGATTGATTTGATAAGTTCCTTCACTCCGGCTTTCATACTTTTTCCGCTTATGCCGCCCGCTCCTTTCTCCGCTTATGCCGCCCGCTCCTAGACTTTTTCTTCACATGTCTTATTGACCTTTCCACTTCTTCGTACAAGACGTTATCATTTTCATTATCCCTCGGTGGTGGGGACATCTTTTCCAGTTCATCCAGCAGCTCTTTGTTCTCTTGACCCGTATCCTGATACAAATCGCTGCAATACTCAGTCCACCTCTTTGTTGTCTCTTCTTTGTCCACCAAGATCTTGCCGTCCTTGCCTTTTATCGCCGTTTTCCTCGGCTGCCACTTCCTCTTTGTGCTCTTGACTCGTTTGTGCACCTCTCTTGGTCTTGTATTCTCCAGCGCAACATTCAATGTCACTACGTTGCCTTTCCAGTCACCCCTGCTCATAATTTTTTGCCGATGTCCTTACCTCATTGCATAGCTACTTGTACTTATTGCCATCTTATCCGATTGCTTTATCTTTCATCTTATTTTTCATCTTTTCCTCTCTGCTAGTTCCAAGGTTTTTTCAGTTATCCATTTTCTTCTGGGTTTTACAACTAATGGTGGTGCTGCTAGGGGCGGCCCGAGACGGGCTGCCAGCAACTGGTGCCCCCCTAAGGTGATGCATGCAATCGGCACCCCACCCCAAAACCCCAAGGGCAGATCTAGGCTGAGGTTTTTTGGTAAACTGGGAAACTTGTTGCCCCTATGTTCCGTTTAATGTATTTGTAAGAGAATTGTTTTTAAATAGAGACATAAGTATTTGGTTTGTCTATCCATTTACCTGTCCAATTGATGTTTTTGAGATGAGATTAAATAGAGACACACGACATTTTCAGAAAAGATTTATACACGACAGCTAGACGATATTTAAGTCCGATTTACACGATTTATTTTTGCATTAAATAAAATTCGTTAAGTGAAGAAATTCTAAGAAACGTTGAGAAATTAATTATAATTCATATTCCCTCGAATTTGGCGCCCCACTTAACTTGGCACCCGAGGTGACCGCCCCAGTTTGCCTGTAGGGATGGGTGGCCACCCTGCGTGTTGCTACTACCGCTTGCTCCACGATCTCCTTCAGTGCTAGTGCCTTGCTGTCGATGCTAAGGTGTTCTATTCCCCCCCCGCCCCCTGATTCCACTCGACATTTCCTAATTCGTATTTCCTCATCTCCCTCTTGGCCTCCTAGTTATCTGTGTTCCTCTTCTTCTCATATCGCGTTCTGGGTATATAGGTTTTAGTTTGAGCCGTACGTTGTGCAGTACCAAGCAAGCCGTGGTCTGATGACACATCGGTTCCAAGGGATGTTCTGCATAGTCGAACCGATGTCTTCCAGCCTCTGTCGATCATTACCAGAGCTATCATATTCCTTTTGTTTCAACTTAGTATTACATCCTAGCATGTCATGTCTCGAAGCAAATTCTTGCACAGTTTCCCACTTCTTTCATTCTCTCTCCATATCCGTTCCTTGTGCACGATGCATTCCCATCCAGTGTTATCCTTCCCAATATTGGCATTCCAATCTCCCAGAATTGTCCTAATATCTTTTTGAGGCAGTTCCTTTAAAGTGCTTTTCCAGCGTTACGTAGCATTTTTCAGTGTCATCATCTGTGCTGACTGATGCTGTTGCATACATTTGGACGATGGAGATATTTAGGTGTTGCCCATTAAATCTCGCTACAATTACCGTCGGACTAACCGGTCTATCTCCAAATAATGATGCTTTGGCTTTCACGCTCAACAAGAGCCCCAAATCCTCTGGTGTGCACTTTATCATCCTACGACCAGATGACTTCACCCCCCATTTATCTCCCTCATTCCTGTCCATCGCATTTCTGCAAGTCCTAGTACGTCGTGCTTGGTATATTTCCATTTCCTTTCTTCGTGGCTCTTAACTGCCCCATTGCCCACAGTGTTCTCACACTCCACGCCCCTGACTGTGGTCTCCTCATTCGCCATTCTCAGCCTCTTCGTTCTTTTGGGAAGTTGGCCGCTTTCTTTCCTAACGGCTGTCATAGCTGCTGCTGCTACTGCTGCTGCTTTGCCAGTAGCAAGTTTTTTAACCCAATCCTGCAGGGCTGCTCGTCTGGGAGACGCGGACCTTGTTGATCCAAGCCGACGTCCTAGCCGGTATTCTTCTTCTTCCTCTTACGCTTCCTCTTCTTTTTCTTCTGTGGGAGTCACGTGGCATTGTATTTACTCTCCGTTTTTTTTTATTTTTCTTCACGGCCGAAGTATCGGTACCACGCTTTTCAGCCCCCAACCCCTCCCTCCTTTTTTATCCAGGCATGGAACTAGCTCCAGATATCCACTGCATTGTGGACAGACACCCCCGAGGCACAGTTACTACTTAAAGACAAAGAACCCCCAAACTCTAACGAGCAGCATAGTCTGTCACAGACCGTTGGGGCAAGTGCTGTTAGCAAGCGCCTATGAAGGCACGCAGGAGGGTTGTGGGTGGCCAGCACCAACACCCCCACCCGCCTTTTCGTCTGCCCAGTGCTAATGTTTGTGTAGTGACTGTACCTTGCACTGTGTGGTGCCGGAACTTGCGAAGTCACGGCCGATAATGTTGTCATTGCGGGCAGGCCGGGTTGCGGGCTGCAGTACCAACACTAGCGGTGGTTGGGTGAGCGCGGGTTAACGCGGAGGTACGGCGAACAGAGTGCGGTGCCGGCACCCAGTGAGGGAGCGAGAGCGAGCGTCAACCAGCCAGGGTGACTCTGGGGCATGACGCTCTGGCTGACCTGTTGTCACGTGACCGGACGATACTGGAGGGGGGCTACCGGTGGACGGGGGCCGAGGGGCGGTCACGTGGTCCCGGAGAGCTCTTGGGAACATTCGAGAAGGAGCTCGAGAAGCCTGGAATGTGGGCGGGGCTAAGGGCGGAGCCAGCCCCAGCCCGGGAGCATAAAACGAGAGCTCCGTGAGGAGCTCGGGGTTCTTCAAGTGTTGGTGTTCGAAGATCCACGTCGGGGAGAAGAAGTCTCTCGCCACGCGGTTCGGGACCCAGCTTGTGGTCCGGACCGGGATAGCGAACCGTGTCTAGTTCTGCCGTAGCGTGGTTAGATGGGCATTCGAGACCCGAGCGTAGGTCGTGTTATGTTCGTGTTGTTGTGTGAATAAATAGTGTTGCTACCAAGTTATCGTCTGCGACTCAGTTGGACTCACTACACACAACACTGCAGGTGGGTACTCATTTTTGTTGTTTGTTTAAGGCTGAGTCGACCTCGAGAAAAAGGTCCAGGACAGGTTCAAATATAATATGGCCGACGTTTTGGGGGTGCCGACTGGGCCTTTCTTGAAAGCACGTAACGCGTGAAAATGTATCGCATATTATACATTCCCCTTGAAGGCTAGGGCGTTATATTACTGACAGGCATTCGTGTAGTTGAGTATTTGCTCATGCAAGACTCCTGACGCAGCAGCACCACCACCAAATAATTGGATGAATATATCACGGTCGTGATATAATAAGTCACAGAGCCTTGGCATTAGTAATAAAACAATATTTGTTGTGTCCATGAGCCTTTGGCCACCAAAGAATGGTTTTATCACTCTACTAGAGAGGGTGGCAAATGCTAACAAAGATATATATTTAAATCGCGTTTTATCTCTCCGAATCACAGATGTCTCGGATAGCAAGGGTCAGCATGGGCGCAGCTGCTTATGAGTAGATTTTTCATTAAAAGGCTGCCCGAGCTATTGTGTAGAATAGACCGCTTGTGATAGGGAACATCCACGGGATATAGACAGTGAATAGGAGCCGTGTCTTTAGACGGTGAATAGGGGCCGCGTCGCACGGCGTTGTGCCATGAGATTCCTGCTCATAGTGGACAAGGCTCATGGTGGACACCGCCCATGGTGGACACCGCCCATGGTGGACAGTTTATGGTTGAAAACTCGGGCAGTCTCCACCGCTCATGGTGGACACTTCCCATGGTGGACACTGCTCGTGGTGGACATTGCTCAAAGTGGACACTGCCCATGGTGGACAGTTTAAGGTTGAAAACTCGGGCAGTCTCCACCGCTCATGGTGGACACTGCCCATGGTGGACACCACTCATGGTGGACACAGCTTATGGTGGACACCGCTCGTGGTGGACACTGCTCGTGGTCGACACCACTGGTGGTGGACATTCGCCACACCAAGTGGCCGGGTCGTTAAAATCGTATTTTCTTGTTTTGAATTACCGGTAACATCGTAAAACCCAATGAAAACTGGTTACTGTTATAACCGGTTTTTGCCACATAAAATACAAGTGCCTGGCAATATACATAACGCGTCCATGTTTTTGATTGAGAAAAAAACTAATGCAGCAGCCATGGTGGTGTAGTGGTGGTGGTGGTGTCGTGGTGTAGTGATAGTGTAGTGGTTGTGGTGTAGTGGCGGTGGTGTAGTGCTGGTGGTGTAGTGGTGGTGTAGTGGTGGTGGGGGCAAGTGCTGTTAGCGAGCAGCAGTGCCTATGACGGCTGGCATGGCACAGGAAGGGTTGGTTGGTAGCCAGCACCACGCCCGGCCGCCTTTGTCTCCCCAAGTGGCGATCGTTACACACTGCACCAGATACTCATTTGAGGCTGAGTCAACCTACATAAACAAAGACTAAGACCCCCCCTCTCTCATATAGTCTTTTAACAGACTGTTAGGCTTTGTACTGTTAGCCATCACATGAGCAATGCAACACATACCCACGCACACATACATAAACACACTGATAATCCAACACATACCCACGCACACATATGTAAAGACAGTGCGTGTGTAAAGACAGTACGCGGACTAGCGGTCACAAGCGGTAATTACGGGTGTAGAGATAATATAGAAGGCTAGCGGTCACAAATGGTAATAACAGGCGAGGTGACAGAGAAGGGAACGATCTGGAATCTCCAGGAATGTTCGGGAACTCGCCAGAGAGTTAGATATGTAAGAGCGATCGCCAGGGGTGGAGCGTTGGCCACACTGGGAATAAAAAGGGGTGAGAATCAAGGTTCTAGACTGCTGTGGAAGTCGGGGTCGTCACGGTCCGGGAGCGCTGTTGCCACGTCGGTCGTCGCTGTCTTCGGTCATTACTGTCTTCGCGCCGTCGCTGTTTTTGCGTCGTCGCTGTGTTCAAGTCATCATTTTGAAGCGACCGACCAAAATAAATAAACCCTCTACAGTCCGAGTCGTTACAACTGGTATCAGAAGTGGCTGCATCAGTATGTCAAAATATACAAGAACAAATAACCCACCTGAATCGACTTCGGATGAGGGAGAAGATGAGGAGACCCCCCTCCAAGCAGTCCTAGGAAATGGGGTCTCGGTCTATGAACCCGTGGGTGCAGGAGAAGCGATGGCAGTGGCGGAAAAAGAGGGAGCTGGTTACCAGCAGCCACAAACCACGAAGGGGTGGTGTGAGGTGGCAGGATGGTTCCTCACAGCCGTCGCGCATCTCTCCCTGCAATTGGGCGCAGCTGCAGCAAGTAGGGGAGCCACGGAGAGTGCACTGCAGGTCCCGGTGGATGGGACGAGACGAACGGCGGCTGCCATCATTTGCGTGGTGGAGCCCGCACGAATGGCAACTGCCATTGCCCCCGCGGTGGAGCCCACGCAATCACTGGCCGCCATTTCTCCCACGGTGGAGTCGGCGTGATCGACAACCGCCATTTCACGGGTGACCCAGGTGGCAACGGAATCAGCTCCGTCTCTGGTGACGCAGTGGAGAGCAGCGGACCGGCCAAGACGAATGCCTCCCGTTAGGGAGTTTGTTGCAGCGGGGGGTTACTGGGCCGCTTTCACCCAGAGATTTGAGGAGGCATATTTATCAACAGGGTCGATGGAGGATGAAGCTCTGAGGGCCTTGCTGACTGCGCTTCCTGAGGACATGAGGGCCACCCTTCAGCAGGCATAGAAGGAGATGGTGGCCGTTTTTGTTCCGCCATCCGGCACATGCAAGAAGTCCCTGCAGCGGAGGTGGGGGGAGGCCGAGATGGGCTGATGGTGCTGGGGCAGGCAGCGTACCCACGTATGGATCAAACGGCACTGGACTCTTTGGCCATGGAAAAGATGCTGGTGTTGGCGCAGGAGATGGGGGTCGTGCTGTGGGTGGCTGGGTTTGACGGCAAGGCTGGGTTTGACGGCGAGGGGAGACCTCGCGACAGCCTCGAGGCTGGGGGCGATGGGAGGAGGCGATTCCTCAGCAGGAGACACCCGCCATCGCCTGCTTCATGTGTCGACAACCAGGAGCGATGCCCGACCAACGACGGCATCGTCGAGATCCACCCTTCCGCCGACGACCCCTCCACAGCCCCGGCAGGCAAGTCGCGACACACCAGACACCTGGGCCAAACCACCTCACGCATCTAGGGCATCCCGTGTTCCAAGCGTCATTTTCACCCCACATTGGGAGTGGCCGGCTCCATCGAAGGGGTAGAGGTGCGCTTCTTGATAGACACAGGTGCCTCAGCTACTATTATCTCGGAGTGGATATATGAGATGTTACCATCAAGGGGCCGTTGCGTTACGCTGGTTGGGGAATGCATGTATTGCAGCTAACAGAGGGAGGATGGGAATCGTAGGGCAGGTAGGGGCTTGCGTAAAGATTGGGGAAATTGAAATGTCGGGCCTGTGTTGATTTCAAAAACACTGGCAGTTCCTTGTCTGTTGGGCACCGACTTTTTTAGTAAAATGCTTCTTAAGATTCTGACGGACCAGAGATGCATCGAAATGCTGTTAGGGCAGCGATTGTGGTTTTTGGAAGCCAGTTATGAATGTAACAGTTCAAGCCCTGGTGAATGAATTGGGAAAGATTCTGCCAGGCACGCAAATGTTGGTCCCTTTGCATTACCACAAATGCTTACATTTTGCCGACCCCAATGCGGGAGTCCTCCTTACTCCGTCCAACACAGCGACCCGTGGGCTTACGCTGGGGGGCGTGCAGACGATCCTGCGGATGAGCCAGGAGCCATTTCTGCAAGTGTTAAATATGGGTGCGGGGATGGCTGTGGTCCAGGTGGGTACTGTACTGGCCCACGCAACGGCTACATGTTTTCGAGGCTGTGGACTCAGCTGCGGTGTATGTCGCAGGTGCGGTGGAGGAGGGAGCTGAGTCAAATTAGTTGAATGGGGCATGGGCTTAAAATTGGTGCAACGAGATTCTGGATTTATCTGATGCGCAACGGGCGAATTGTGGTCATTGCTACGGCAATTTTCGGATATTTTTAGCAAGGGCAAGTTTGACATTGGTCGTACCTCGCTGCTGCAGCGCCATATTTATACGGGCGACGCAGCTCCTATTCGCCAGAACTCATACCGTTTGAGTCCTGTAGAAAAGGTGCATGTGCAGCAAGCAGTGGAGGAAATGTTGGTGGCTGATATAATTTCACTGTCAAACAGCCCTTGGGGAGCCCCTGCGGTATTGGTGAAAAAATCAGATGGGAGTTTCAGGTTTTGCGTTGATTTCCCGCATTTGAATAAGATCTTGGTGGCAGATGTATATTCGCTTCTGCGTATGGATGATTCTCTGGATGCATTGTCAGGCACTCGTTTTTTTTCAACATGGGATTTATTGTCGGGATTTTGGCAAATACTCTTGGACGAGTCATCTAAACCACAGACTACATTTCGAACGCCTCATGGACTGTATCAATTAAATTGTCTTCCTATGGGATTTAATTCGGCGCATGCCACATTCCAGGGACTTATGGAGTTGGTCCTAGCAGGTTTGAAATTGGACTCATGCCTCATTTATTTGGACAATATCATTGTGTTTGGTCGCACATTCGAAGAACATTTGCAATAGTTGCGAGCAGTTTTCTCAAGAGTACGTTTGGCTAATCTGAAATTTAAGCCTCTAAAATATCATCTGTTACAAACCTCGGTACGATATTTGGACCACATTGTAAGCGCTTCTGGAATAGCTACAGACCCAGACAAAACGGAGTGCATACATGATTGGCCAACCCTGAAGACTGTGGAAGAGGTGCACAGTTGTGCTGGGTTTGCTTCTTCCTACCGATGGTTCGTTCCACAGTTCGCGACAGTTGCAAAACCCTTGCATGCCCTGACTGCTAAAAACCAGAAGTTTAAATGGGGTAATGAGAAGGAGGCTGCGTTTGTTGCGCTTCGCAATCACCTCTCCAATGTGCCCCCCCTTGAATATCCAGATTTTTCCCTGCCGTTCATCCTAGACACAGATGCTAGTGACCTAGGCATAGGGGCTGCCCTATTTCAGGTGAAAGGTGGGGTTCAAAGGGTTATTGCGGAGCAGCGGTATTGTGTTACCCGCCGGGAACTTTTGTCCATGGTCTACTTTATCCAACAGTACAGGCCTTTCTAGATTCTAAGCTTTCGTGACTGCAGGAATTACCCTTTGGTTCTTTCGGTAAAGTCACGTAGAAAGAAATTAAATTAAATAATTATAGAATACGACGTTTTGATTGCAACACAAGCAACCATCACCAGGTAAGAATGAATGAGAAAACAAACATTTTACTACATTTGTTTTCTTAAACTTCCTATTTCTCTCTCTAAATTTTGCCGTGCTTGTTAGTTTATAAGTCCATTGCCTCTCCTCCGGCCGCTATGGGCAGGAATTCCACACAACTCTCTCATTGTTCTCTACCCCAATTCCCCCCCCCCCCTCTCTCTGCCCCACCCCCCTCTCTCTATTTAAGGCCTTGACACAGAGGCGTTGTCTTTCTGTTTGTCTATGTGTGTGTCTCTCTCTGTGTGTCTCTGTGTGTGTCTCTCTCTGCTAGTGTGTCTGTCTATGTGTCTTTGTTTCTGCGTTTTGTCTCTCTCTCAAATTTAGCAAACTTTGGAAGAATGTAATCAACCAGGTAGTGTGTTGACTGTTGTGTTAGCCGACTCTCTGTGTTGTATTGCATTATATTTCTAATTTTACTATGTTTGTGCTCTCATTCATTCTTACCTGGTGATGGTTGCTTGTGTTGCAATCGAAACGGCGTATTCTATTATTATTTAATTTATTTTCTTTCTACGTGACTTTACCGAAAGAACCAAAGAGTACAGGCCTTATCTATACGGTGGGGAGTTCGCAATCCGCACGGACCATGCGGCCCTGCAGTATTCCCTACTAGTAGACCAGCCTTCCGGCCAGCTGGCTGGAGATACCTCAGGAATATTCCTTCCGTGTATTCTATCGGAAGGGCTTAAGGCACTGCAATGTGGACGCACTATCTCGGTTGCCTCAGGAAGAACGGTGTGCATGTGTGTCCGGCGCGGGCGGTGTAAACCTCCTGCAGCTGGGTTGCCACAGGTCGTAGCAGCACTAAGTAATGCAGAGCCATCCGGAGTGGTCACGCCTACGAATAACACCTTGGGGCTCACACGTGGAATGGGGGCAACTGCAGATGGAGGACAGCTCCTTGTTAACTTTGCGGCACCGCGCGGAAACAAATCGCGACAACCCTACCTCTTTGGGAGTCTCGGGGTTTGTGCTCCGTGAAGGTCTACTAATGAGATGGGACGAGGTCTCACAGCGTCGATGGCTAGTGGTCCCCACTTCCCTACGGGGTAAGCTGACGTGGGCGGTACATGACAACAAATTATTGCACCTCGGGCATTGGAAAACGTTGTTGACCTTGCAACGGGACTTTTATTGGCCGGGAATGTTGTCCAATGTTCACCATTTAGTCGCGGGTTGCACAGAGTGTGCGTGCCAAGAGCCCCTGTGGAAAAAGTCTGAGCCCCTGTTGCAGTCCATCACAGTGTCCCGAATCAACGAATTAGTTGTGCTAGACATCCTGGGACCTTTTCCGTGTACTCAAAATGGGAACAAGTGCTTTCTGGTCGGGGTGGAGTATTTTACCTGGTGGCCAATGGCTTGACCATTGCCTGACCAAACAGCTGCATCCATTGCAGATGCATTCCTGCACGGCTACGTGATGGACAAGGGAGCCCTGGAGCAGCTTCTCACTGACCAGGGTCGAAATTTTTCGTCTAAACTGCTGCACGAAGTGTGTGACGTACTGGGTAAGAAAAGGATTAGAACTTCACCATACTATAACATCTATGATCTGTCAAGTGGTTAATGAGGCACAGACGGATTTGGACTTTTGCATGTTCCTGGGGTCCTGGCAGCCCCACACGCCTCTACGGGATTCTCCCCTTTTTTTCTAATGTATGAGCGGGAGAATGAACCCCCCATTGAGGCTCAATTGGATACGGCCTCAGGGAAGACAAAAACATATATTCCCGGACCTCTGCAGATTACGCTCGATCGTGTGGCAGAGGCGCATTAAGCAGCTCGAGAAAATACTGCCAGGGCGCAAGCCGTGAATGAAAAACACACAGAGCAGCATGAGCACGTGCTTCCATGGGCAGTTGAGGACACGGCATGGTTTTTTTGGCCACAGGTGCCGCTGCGTACGCCCTCCAAACTACACCGGCCATGGCGTGGTCCCGTGGAAGTCATAGAAGTGAAACGGCCGCAGTGTGTGTGAATGCAAGCAGGATGTCGCCGTCACACTTAAAACCATTTGTACATCCCTACCCAGACAGCTCATCCCCATGTCCTGTATGGCCGGTATCTGGTGGGTCCAACGTGCCGGGGTGATCGGCCAAAGAAACCGTACGTCAAGGAAAATGTGTTGTGCCGCCCACAGTTTCCAAGCCCCTGATGTCCGGGGAGTCACAAGAATCCGCCTCGTGCGATGGACCGGTCTCTGGAGCCCGGTCTAGTCCTTCCAAGGAAGCCAGGGATGAGCCTGCCCCTTCAAGGCTTTTGTGCATAGAGGCACAAAAATCCGCCATGGGCAAGGGACCTGCATCAAGAACCTGGTCAAAGTGCTTCAAGATGCGCTAGTAGAGCTGGAAGCCCTAAACCATGGACTTTGAAAAATCCCCTTGAGCGACCTGCGGTGGTGTATGGTTGGTGACCATGACGGTTATGATTATTATTGTGGCGGTCGGTCGAGGGAGATAATTATTGTGTTCTTGATTGTTGTTATCGGGTGGGTCGGTTCACACCGCTCACCCATCATAATAGGCCGTTATAATTGCGATCGTCGGGCGTCGGACTATTTGTATGCAGTTCTTCTGCCCCAACGCACATTTTTTCATTGTTAATCGCCGAGACAGCTACTTTTTAAGAAAGGGGGGGGGGGGTGGGGGTGATGTAAATACAGTGTGTATGTAAAGACAGTGTGTGGGTAATGACAATGCGCGGACTAGCGGTCACGAGCGGTAATTACGGGTGTGGAGATAGTATAGAAGGCTAGCAATCACAAGTGGTAATAATAGGCTAGGTGACAGATAATCGAACGATCTAGAAGCTCCAGGAAGGTTCAGCAACTCGCCAGAGAGTTCGAGAAGTAAGGGCGTGGCCAGGGGCAGAGCGCTGGCCACGTTCCGCCCCTGACCACGGTCGTTGCTGTCTTCGCGTCGCCACTGTGTTCAAGTCATTGCTGTGAAGCGACCGACAAAAATAAATAAACCCTCTACAATCCATGTTGTCCGAGAGCCGTTACACATACACAAACACACTGACAATGCAACACATACCCACGCACACATACATAGACACACTGACAATGCAACACATACCCACGCACACACAAACGGACAGACTGTACACTTGTTTTATGCATTGAAATCGAGTTTTATGCATTGAAATGCAAACTGCATACGTGTGTATAAACACACACATAATAAACAGCCCACCCTCACTGGCAATGTATTTATAAACACATTAAAATAAACACACCAGCGAATTACACTGCCGTATGTAAAAAAAGATGAAAATACCCGGGATAGCCTTTGAACAGACTGTTGGGGCAAGTGCTGTTAGCGTGCACCTATTAAGGCCGTCACACGTGGCACCTATGAGCGATTGGGGTGCCGACATCACGCCTGACCGCCTTTGTCTCCCTAAGTGGCGATGTTTTTGTTTATATACACTGCACCAGCCATACATTTTTATTTTTGTTCAAGTTGAATCGACCTAGGGGGTGATGGTGCCCAGCACCGCTTGGGCCTCCACCGTCGTTTCGAAATTCCCCTCCGACGTCGACACCTTGACTTGACATCGGCTCGCCGCGCGCTAACCACTGAGCCCACCGCTCACATTCTCGTTCGACTCAGCCCATCAGCCCTCCCTCCCTCGCGGGGGGGGGGGGGGAAGTCAACAGACGTCCTGTAGAAATACTTGCCCCCTGCCATAGGAATGTGTAATTTCCACAACCGGCTACGGTGATGGATGGGGTCCCGAATGGTGGCATTGTGAACCCAATCCGTGCGGACATTTGAGCGTTCAATGGTGAATGAAGGGCCTCCCCACACCGTGTTCATCATAAGGGCGGGGGGGGGGTTGACCATACTTCACCACGCTGGTTATCGTGGGTTTTTTTTATCGGACCGGTTCAGATATCACTCGCGGCAATCTGATGTTATCGCCGTGTCCAGGTATCGAACTCGGGTTGCCAGGGGTTCGGAGTGCAGTGTGCTAACCACTGTGCCACCACTCTCACGAACTGATGTTAGCCGTGTCCAGGAATCGAACGAATTGTCACGTTTTGTTTATGTGACAACCCTTACTGATTGGCCATGTGGGTGGTGGCAGGTTTAACGACACCTTAAAAAAAACTCTCCAAAAAAAAGCTTATGGATAACATTGGTCTAGAAAACCCTCCGATTACGACTACTGCTGCATGCCTTTTAACAGCGAATCCCAACCAATTCTGACCGAATGCTTAAGACGCGACTATTACGAGCCACTCAGGTCATCCTCCTGAGTGACCTCTACCCAGACATGCCATCCTCCATGACCTATTATCCCTCTGACCCCAGGCTGGCAGACGTGAAGCTGCGAGACCACGGGCCCTACCAGTGCCACGTGAGCGTCTACGACAGGAGCCGCATGCTGGAAGCCACGGGGCACGTGTTCCTCAACGTCATGGGTAACAGAGACACTCACCCCCAACCCTCAGCCACCCATCCACTCACCCACCCCCTGGCCCACCCATCCACTCACCCATCCACTCACCCACCACTCACCCACCCGTTCGCCCCCCCCCCCCCTTTGCTCACCAACCCGCCCACCCACTCGCACACCGACCCACTCACCCATCCTCCCACCCACTAACCCACCCACCCACGCACCGCACTGCAGGCCACTACACTTCTCTCCGCTTCTTCCCTCACACTGTTCCACTGTGGAGTTTCCTCCTACTATCATCATCATCGGTGTCGTCATCTATTTTGCACCCCAAGCTCTCGTAACAACAACAATAACAGCAATAACACCAACAAAAAAAGAACAATAACAGCAACAACAATAATCACAACAACCTCGCTGCGTTCAAGAAACGCGTTCATGCACTCTTTTCCAATTACACATTTGACGGCGGTGCTGTTTGTTGCTGTCTGTGATGGCAGCTTGAGGTTTTGGGCCTCTCTGGGCCTCTGCTCGGCAGCAGACTCAGAGAGTTACATCGAGATCCATATAGTTTCATAGCGTGACATAGAGACTCATAGAATTACATAGAGATCCATAGCGTGACATAGAGACTCATAGAGCACTGCAGGGTTGCAATGTGCGAACTTAACACGGACAACAACAAAGACGACAACGACATCAACGACGACAAAGACGACAACAACGACAACAACAACGACAACAACTTATTGACACATGAAGCCCAAGCCAGAAAGCTACTCAGCCCACCTCTACAGATTCACGAAGCTCGCCGCCCCTTGCTTGCATCCAGTTAGCTAAGGCATATATAACGCACACACGCACGCACACATACATCAAAGACAAAAATCCCCCGTATAGCCTTAACAGACTGTAGGGGCAAGTGCTGTTAGCGAGCACCTATGAAGGCCAGAACGGTACACGAGGGGGTGGGTGGCCAGCACCATGCCCGACCGCCTTTGTCTCCCCAGTGGCGATGTTTACACACCACACCAGGTACTCATTTCAGGCTGAGTCGACCTAGGGGAGGCCCAGGACCGGTTCAGATAATCGTCACTGGTGTTGGCCGTGAGCGGGAATCGAACCCGTGTCGCTAGGTTCATAGCGCAGCGCGCTAACCGCTACACTATCGCTCCCCACTACGCACACATACACACATACACACACATACACACACACACACATATACACACACATACAAACATGCAACAACAACCGCCATTCGCCACTAAGTGGTATTGACGTCACCGTGATGCTTGTGCCAGGCTATGTGCACGTTGAGGCCATGTGTAGTGTTGAACGCCCGCTGGCAGGAGGTCACAGGGCAGACCCAGCAGGTGCCATGGGTCGACTGACTGAGATGACTAGCTGATGCACCACCTGTGCCCCCTACTGTGCCAACTTGCTGTGCTTTAGCCACCCGCCACTCCGCTCGTTGTTGTGAGCGTTGCTCCTGCCCCCTCCATTGTTGTTGGAGGGCGACTGCCTCCAACTGCCCAGTAGCATCCTTCATGAGCCTCCTCCACAGAGGCCGATCTTGACACCGCTGGCACCAGTCATCGGCAAGTCCACTCAGCTCCACATCCTTCTGTACCACATCACTCCATCTCTTCTCTAGCCCGTGCCGCGCCCGTTTAGCCCCCTCGATCCGGCCGAACAAAAGCTGTTTAGGCATGCGGTGGCTGGGCATGCGGGCTACATGACCCAGCAAACGCAGCCTTGCCTGCCGGAGGAGCTCACCGATGGAACTTTGTCCAGATCTTTCAAGGATATGTGAGCTCCTCAAACAATCCAGCCTGGTTAAACGCAAGATGGATTGTAGGCAGGCCAGCCTAAATGTTTATAACCGGCAAAAATGTTCCATTAGGGGGGTCCACGTTTTGCAGGCGTAGAGAAGGGAGGGAATGACTGTTGTCAAGAAGACCTGAAGCTTCGTGCGGAGCAACAGACCAGGTAGCTTCCACACAGTGTTACGCAACCGATGAAAAGATAATTCCGCTTGACTGATTCGGAGGGAGACCTTTGCTGTCAAACCAGAGCCGGTCATGAGCACACTTCCCAGGTATGGGAAACTCTCCACTCTCTCCACAACTGCCCTATCACCAATTGGGAGTTGTGGGGGTGGAATGTCCAATGGTGCAAAATACCCAGGCAGGTGCTTCGTTTTGGTGGGGCTGATGGTAAGGCCCCACCTCTTAGTGGCAAGCTCCAGGTTGAGCAGCAGCACCTCCAACTCCTCCTCTGAGGAAGCAGCAATAACCAGATCATCGGCATACGTAACATGGTTGAGCAATAGGGAGCCATTTCTTGACCGCACCGGGCATCGATCAGCCTCCCATTGTATCTGTACCAGGTGGAAATTCCTCTGGTACAGCTATTGAAGGCTTCACAAACTATGTGGTCGAAATAGATGTTAAATAATGTGGGAGCCAGAGGACATCCAAAAGTGAACAAGGAATGGCTCCGACTCCTGGCCACGTAGTTTTACCCGGCCCCACTCACCATCATGAAGGTCCTTAATGATCGTGAGCAGCGGGTCAGGGACTCCGAAAGCACGAAGAACAACCCAGAGCCCAGGCCTACTGATGATATCATAGGTCTTGACCAGGTCAATAGAGCAGAGATGTAGGTCTTGTTGGAATTCCCTACACCTCTGCTGTAGCAGACGGACAGAAAATATGGTGTCTGTGCAGGACCGCCCTTACCTGAAACCACATTGGGGCTCCGGAAGCCTCTCCTCAGCGTGCCTAGCAAGGCGATGTTGAATAATCCTTGCCAGGACCTTTCCCGACACACTGAGGAGTGAGATGCCACTATAGTTGTTACAGTCATGTGGTACCCCTTCTTAAAGAGGGGAACCACTAGGGCATCCTTCCAATCCTGCAAAACCCGTCCAGTGGTCCAGACTGTTTGTATGATGTCATGTAGGTCAGTCTGTGCACAAACGCCACCCTCCCTCAGCATTTCGCTTGGGAGATCATCTCTGCCCGGTGCCTTTCCTGGTCTCAGACTCCGGACCGCCTTCAGTACTTCCACAACAGTTGGCACCTCAGCCAGCCACTCACAGGGGGTGACTTCCTCCAATATTTGAGGCACCGCAGCCTCGGCAGAGTCATCCCCACTTTGTGCCACGTTGCTTCCAGGCTGAGGGATTTCCCCTCCCCCAGGACCCCACAAAAATGCTCAACAAATCTGCGAACCTATTCCTGGGGGTCGGAGATTGGATCACCGTTTTTTCCCCTAATGATGGTAATAGGTGTGGCACTGCAGGTAACTTTTTGATGGAATTAAAGAGCGATTTGTGATCACGGGCCATTCTCCGACGTGGGATGTTGTAGCCGATGAGAGTGGGCCTGTTGCTTTTTCTCAGCCAGCTTGAACACCTCCTCTGTCAGCCAGGATCTCTGGGGAGGTCTGGACCATGTACTCAAAGCAGCCATTGCAGCTGCATGAGCCACAGTCCTGAACCTCGCCCATTTCCCCTCGACATCAGGACAAGTCGGGGACAATGCCAACCCCTAGCTGCAAGCGATGATTAAATTCTCACTTTCAACTTTCATCAAATAGCTGAGACCATGCCACTATGGGTTTGAATGGGGTCCTGGGTGTACACCCACCACCGGAGTAGATGAATGGCAGGCGCGTCTTACAGATGACAAGTCAATGGTCAGTGGGCATATCAGCTCCTAGGTAGGCCCTGGTGTCAAGGACATCGGCCCGCATCCGCTGTTCCGTCACTATGTAGTCCAGCAGATGTGCTTGCTTGGACCCGGCATGCATCCATGATGTTGTGTGGATGCGCCGATGCCAGAACAGCATGTTGGTAATTACAAGCCCATGGGCTGCACAAAAATACAGCAGCCTCCTGCCGTTATTATTAAGCTGATCTGGCCCATGCCTTCCAATCACTTCAGACCAGGTGCCAGCATCATGACCAACTCGGGCATTGAAGTCACCCAACAGGATGACTCTATCCCGAGGGGCCACTTTAGCTAGCACCTGTGACAGGAGGTCATGGAAAACATCTGACTCATCGGCCTTGCCTGCATCCCTCCACGGATGTTCGTCTTCGGTGGGGGCATAATTAATCACGACCACCACTCCTCGCCTCTGGTTGATGGGAAGGTGAGCCCAAAGTAGCCTGGGGCTTACAGCTTCCACCACCACCACGCTCCCACGCCCCATTCATTATTTCTTCAGAAGAAGAACCACTCCCTGTTGTTTGGCAGTCTCCTGTCCCGAGTAGAGGACTGTCCACCCCTCATGGTGGCAGGAGCCAGAACCGGTCCACCGGACCTCCTGAATACCACAGAGATCCAGGCAGTACCGGTCCAGCTCCCGACAGAGGAGTGGTAGCCTCTCCTCCATAGTGAGCATTCGAACATTCCACGTGGCCACACGTTCGTTTTTTTTGTTTTTGGAGGAGCCCCGAGGGTAAGGATTCAGTTTCCTGGCTCCGTCAAATGGGGTTTGGTCAGGAGACGTCATAGACGCATGTACCCCCATAAGATTAATACATTTTTAAACTCGTAGTTTAGTGGTAATTAATTGAAGATGGAGGGGTTACCAGCCCCTCGCACCCGTCCAGAGCGCCCATTTGGTTGCTTTGTTGGTTACAAACGCCATGAGGGGAATGGCCAATTTAAGTTGGCCCTCCCCCCACGGCACTGCCCACCACAGCGTTGCGGGCTGGCACCACGAGGAAGGAGGGGGTTGTTTTTGCCGGACACACATACACATATACACACATACAAGCAGACAACGGCTGCCCGGCCAATATAGCAGCAACAGCTCATTGCCAAGACGAATACCTTTAAACTGGGCCACGCATAAATCACACGCACGTACACACACATACGCACGCACGGAGCGCTATGTGTATATATCACAGCAAAAGTGTAAAGTCCACACGCTGACAGAAACACAAATAACACAACACACACACGGCTACGCAAATCTTACGTGCGCGCGTTTAAAAGACAAAGGCAGGCCCCCTATACAGTCTTTAACAGACCGCGTGAAGACAAGTGGCGATGATTACGCATCGCACCGGGTACTCATTTGAGGCCGAGTCGACCTAGACGAGGCCCAGTATCGGCTCAGATAATCGGCGCTGGTGTTGGCCGTGAGCGGGAATTGAACTCGGGTCGCAGGATTCGTAGCGCGGCGCGCTAGCCGCCACACGACTGCTCCCCGCACCTGCGGTACCATACAAAGATAAAGGTTCCCTGTATCGTCCTTGACAAGCCGCTGGGACAAGTGGTGTTACGATGGGGCGGCCGCCGTTGTCGTCTCCCCGGCGCTGGCTGGCTGCCCCACACGACAGACATATGCATGCAGGGACAACGATGACCCGGATAGCCTTCGACAGACTGCTGAGGCAAGTGCTGTTCGCTTTTAGGGTATTGCGTGAATGTGTGTACGCGTGTGCGTGTGTTTACGTGTTAGTGAGCACCTATAAGGCCGGCAGTGCAGAGGTTAGCGAACCAAGTGACCCGAGTTCGATTCACGCTCACGGCCAACACCGGTGATGATTGTCTGAACCGGTTATGGGCCTCCCTTAGGTAGACTCAGCCTCAAATAAGTACATGGTGCGGTGTGTAGACATCACCACTGGGAAGACAAAGGCGACCGGGCGTGGTGTTGGGCACCCGCCTCCTTGTGTGCTGTGCCAGCCTTCATAGGTGCTCGCTAACAGCTCTTGCCCCTACAGTCTGTTAAGGCTATACGGGGGATCTTTGAACCTCATCACAGACACGCAGACACACACACACGACCCGACCCACACAAGCGCAGACATACATACATACGTACCCACGCACCCCTATAAACTACCCATTCACACATGCAAAAACACACACACACATTTTTTTTCTCACCCACGCACAGACCTACACACACACTTACATTATCACCAAAAAAAGAGAGAGACAACCCATGAGCCCGAACAGTCTGTTGGGGTAAGTGCTGTCAGCAAGTCCTTGCCGTATTACAAAGACACAAGTCCCCCTCGTAGCCTCAACCGAATTTCGTGGCGAGTGCTGTTAGCGAGCAGCACTTGCCACTTGCTCACACGCGCGGTGGGGTAAAGTGTGGAGTGTGGGTACTGCCACCTCTCCCAAGACGTCTTCTGGTAAACGTGGAGGAGGAGTAGGGGGAGGAAATTGCCACTCGAAATATCACTGCAGCAGAGGGCCCTTCCGGCAACAGTGGCGTCAGCTTGCAGTTTCAGTGCTGCACCTTTAGCTGTGTCTCAAGTATACACACTAGCAATGCAATACCGAGACAAAGCTCCCCCGTGTAGCCTGTAACAGACTGCTGGGGCAAGTGCTGTTAGCGAGTAGCAGCACCTATGAAGGCCAGCACGGCACACGAGGGGGTGGGTGGCCAGCACCACACCCGGCCGCCTTTGTCTCCCCAGCGGCGATGTGTGGGTACTCATTTGAGGCTGAGTCGACCTCGGGGATGCCCTTGACCAGTTCAGATAATCCTCACTGGTGTTGGCCGTGAGCGGGAATCAAACTCGGGTCGCCAGGTTCGTAGCGAATCGCTACACTCCGGTACATTACGCACACACAAACTAACCTACCCACACACACAAACTAACCCACACACAGACAGACAAACTAACCTACAGACACACAAACACAAACTAACCTACAAACACACACAAACTAACCCACACACACACACAAACTAACCTACCCACACACACATACAAACTAACCTACTCACACACACAAACTAACCCACACACACACAGAAACTAACCTACCCCCACACACACAACCTAACCTATTCACACACACGTGCAGTCGTATAAAACCTCCTCTTGAAACGCCTTCCTCCCTCCCCGCGTCTCTCTGCCGCCTGCCCACAAAGGGGCTCAATTTTCTTGAATTATGACTTAGACTCCAGCGTGCATGCTGATGTGGGGCTGATCACCCCCAGGGACGCCCCGGCTGCCACCAAACCACTCAGCCCACGCGGAAGTAATTATCATCATCATCATCACGATCATCACCACCACCATCAGCATCACTATCATCACCACCATCACTATCATCACCACCACCATCATCACTACCATCACCATCATCATCACTATCATCACCACCACCAGCCGGCGATTTCATTGATCCGTCTCTCCTTGGGTTGTATCCCCCCCCACCCCCACCTGCCCCGGGACGTGCTCCGTTACTCAGCTTCCGCCTCCGTTCTCGACCACCGGGAGAATCTTTATTCTTCCTGGAGAGACAAATCCGATGAGCTATAAAGCTCTTCTTCCCACAGATGTCCAGTAGGAGCGTGTAAGAACGTTATAGCAAACAATAGAAAAATACGGTAGTCGTGCAAAGTATAAGAAAGGTAAACAAATCCCCCTAACACATAGAAATGAAACGAAACCATCCCCATCCTACCAGGCAAAGCCCACTGAGGTATTCATTTCTTTTTCAGAAACGAGTTGGCTATCACAAATGACAGTTCAACGAAGTGGCTCATCATTTGGATATTTATAGCAGAAAAACATATCTAAATAATCTCAATACGTGTTTCTAAATGTGGAGGGGAAAACTGGAGGACCCGGAGAAAAAATCCACGCGACCACGGGCGGAGAGAGAGACACCACAGACTCCAAATATACAGCAGCAGGCGTTGCCAGGGTCGGGATCAAACCCACGACCTCATGCATTCCAGGCGAGGTAGTTAACACCTCATAGTCACCGTGGCCCCTCTCTCTCTCGCTCTGTACGAGATGGGTTCGTAACGGCCTGGTCATGCGAGTTCACTTCTCCCACCCACGGCCAACTTCGGTGAGGAATATCTGAACCACGTGCTGGGTCCTCCCCTGTGCCAAGCCACCCCTGAAAGGAGTTGCCTGTCGTGTCAACGTTGTTAACTCAACGTTGGGGCTGAAGTGCACCCCTTCTACTTTCACTTTCATTGAATATTTTTACTTGTTAAATACGCCACAGTCACGACCGTTCCCAAATGCAGACGGTCTCAAGTGAGCAGCTCGCGGGCGCGTGTTCAAAACTTCACCCCGCCCCACCGCCCCGACGCCTTTCACCGGCCTTACACAGTCGTTCGCTGACAGCACCCTGGTTGATCGGCTATGCGCGGGGTAGCGGCGGCGTGGCGGGTGATTGGAACCTCTCGCTCGCTTTCTCTCTCGTTCTTTTCCTCTCCGTCAGTGCCACCGTCGTCTATCTCTCTGATCGCGGCGGACGCCCCGGCGCCGTTCAACCGCTACGAGGCGCGCAACTTCACGCTGGTGTGCATCGTCTCCGGGGGCAAGCCAGCGCCCACCGTACGTTACGGGGAGGCAGGGTGGGAGGATGAGAAAAAAACACGCACGGATAACAACCGGCACCTTCACCACCACCGTAACCCCACTTCCACTCCCCACCCCCTACCCTGGATTTGGAAACGCTGCCACGTGGGCGAGCAGGTGAGCGAGCGGGCGGCGAGGGTACGGGTCGGTGGCATGCGTCGGTAATGCGATCGGTGTCGTCGCCGGTTCCGATTCAGCTCCATGTCCCCGCGCGGTGCAGTTGTAATGGACGGTGGAAAGCATCTGGAACTCCCCCCCTCACCGTCCCCCCACCCCCATCGCCCAGTCCGGGCACAATCCACCTTCGTGGCACGCAGTGTGAACGGGTCCGCACGCAAGTCGCGCAATCGGCAGGTCGCGTGTGTGCAGCAGGGTTAGGTGCACGCATCGGCCGTTCATCTCAGTCAGTCGACCCGTGGTGCCTGGGTCTGTCCCATGACACCTGGGTCTGTCCCGTGACCTCCTGCCGACGGGTGTTCGACACTTCACGTGGCCTTAACGTCCACCTAGCCTGGTACAGGCGCCGTGGTGACGGCAGGTCGCGTGTGTGCGGCAGCGTTGGGCATTGGCCGGTCATCTCAGCAGTCGACCCGTGGCACCTGGGTCTGTCCCGTTACTTCCTGCCGACGGGCGTTCGACACATCACGTGGCCTTAACGTGGTGACGTCACCACCACTTAGTGGGGAATGGCGATTGTTATTGGTGTGGGCACTTCCACCTCTTCTAGGGCGCTAGGCTAGCGTGGGGGGTAGGCGACACCCCCCTACCCCGACCAAGTACAGGGGCCCGCTAGGCCTAGTAATGGCCCAGTAAAGGTTGAACGTTGCCCCAACTTTTGGGGCAATCGTCGTAATGTTGTTGTCATCCTTGGAATCTGTTGGCACCAACGTCGGCTCAACATTTTATGTTCACCGCCGACAGGGCAGCACCATCAGTTTCACTTTAATTGTTGAATACTCACAAACCGACTGACGGCTCACGCGGACAGCTCACATGCTTGGTTGCCTCTAAACGTTCAATTATTTCCTACCCAGTGATCAATTTCCATCCGCGCGGCGTGAGCAGAGACGGGTTCTGCAGTAACTCTTCCAGGCGGCTTTATCATCCTCCTTAAAACAACATGAGGATGGCCGAGGTGTCATTCCGCGATCAAGCTATTATTTGCATTATTTCTGTGCAGACGTGGAGCGAACGAATCCCGATAATTCTGACCCCAATTTTTTTCTCTGCCTCCCGTCTCCTCTCGGATAATGGGCGCAGCCACTCCGCCGTCGATCAAAAGCTCCTCAGAAATAAAAAATCTGAAATCTTTACGTCGGCTGGAAGAATCCAGTGAGCTTGTGAAGCTCCTTTTTTCCGCACGGATGTCCAGTTTGGGGGTCGGGTCAGAAAATGACAACGAAAAATAGAAAAAAAATGCTCAGAGTGCAAAGTATAGGAAAGCCAAGTAAGTCACGAAATGTAACTAAAACTACAGTAGACTCTCAATTACCCGCGCTAATGACGGGGAGGATGGCCGCGGATAATTTAAATTCGCGGATAATCATAAATGATAACCATTGTCCACGAACCTCTATGGGAAAAAACACTAATATATGTTTACATTAGGAAAATAGAGTTTGTCATCACTGCGGGTGCTCAGAGGACTCGGCCCACTGAGTGGATGACAGCAGAGCCACGCCAATCAAAAGTCAATCAAACTCTGCCCACTGTTATAAAGATATTGCAACTACTGTATTGTAGAGGCGATCACACAGATTTCGGATTAACCGAGTGGTGTCTCTCCTCAACATCGAATCCACATACAAAATTCTCAAAGTATTTCTGACGCAGCCCTTCGGCCGCACGGCCTTTCATTCCTGGGGGTGGGTGCATCATTTCAGCGATGTTGCTCCATGACAGAGCCAGCTTCTAGACATGGTTTCGACGCATCAGTGTCTCACCAGCAGAGTCAGGCTCTCCAAAAACAGTGCTGGTGAGCCGCCAATCTTACACGGGGGGAGGGGGGGTGGTCTTAGTGCGGCGCTAAAATTATACAGGGACTCTACTTACGAACATTCGACGGCCACCACCATCGTCACCACCACCACCAGCGTCACCACCACCACCACCGCCGTCACCACCACCACCAGCGTCACCACCACCACCACCGCCGTCACCACCACCGCCACCATCACCACCACCACCGCCGCCACCGTCACCACCACCGCCACCCATTGACGCGACTACTCAAGTCAGATACGGCCACACCCAAGTTAACGTTGGAGATGCATTGACTGAACGGCGTCGATCGAAGCGGTGTAACAGGGTAAGCAGCAACAGCAGGTGGTTGGTGATGGTGGAGGCGACGGCTGAGAGGCGCCGGACAGCGAGGGAGGAGGCGCGAGGAGGATGGCGACGGCGCTGCCGGCGACGCGTGCGCGGGTTGGGCTCTGAGGCGACGCTCGGCGAAAGGCGACGGCGTGAAGATTGATGTGGGGATGGAGTCGGAGAAAGCGACGCTCGCGGGTGACGGGGACAGTCAGGGCGAGCGCTGTGCATACGTCCGGGCTGTCCCGCACATGCGAGTCACCCCAGGGAACCTCGACCTGGTGTGGGCCACCCCTAGGTCGATTTGACATAAAAAAATTTTGACCCCACCGCCCCTTCCTAAACCCCCCACCGCCCCTCCCCACCAGGTTCGATTTAAACGCGACGGGGCGATCGTGGAGGCGCAGGGGGACGCGTTGGCGGTGCCCTCCTCCCCCTCCTCCCTCCTCACCAACCCCCGTGGCCGGCCCCGGACTAAAGAGGTGAACGACGAGGAGGAGGAGGAGCAGGAGGAGATGGCGATGGCGGACGCGGAGAAGAGGGACGACGGCGGTGGTGGTGATGATGGAGGTGATGGGGATAGTGACAATGATGGTGGCGATTATGGTGATGGTGATGGCTGTGGGTGGATTGGCCGGTGCCTGAAGAGAGCGGACAGTCTGAGCGACAACGCTGCCTATACGATCCAAACTGTTTTTTATTTAACAGGGAAAGTCGACTGCGCTATATAGTAGCTCTTTTTCAGAAGCGACCTGGCCACAAATGATGGCTCAACGTAGTGGCTTATCATCATAACGTGTAAATATATAGCTGCCAAATAGTCTAAACGCATGTTTCTAAATATGGAGGGAAAAACCGGAAGACCCGGAGAAAAATCCACGCGACTGCCGGGAGAGAGACACGCAAACTCCAAATATACAGCAGCAGGCGTCAGGGTCGGGATCGAACCGACGACCTCCTGTAGACCAGGAGAGGGAGATAACATCTCGACCGTTGCGCCCTGTCAACAGCGCTGAGGGAGACGAGAGGGCCGGGGAACCTGTGGCTAGGGGTAGTGTCAGGGGTAGAGCTGGTGCTAGTGACTGGTTGACTGGGGTAGTGACAGGGGTAGAGCTGGCGCTAGTGGCTGTCTGGGGTAGTGTCAGGGGTAGAGCTGGTGCTAGTGGTTGTCTGGGGGTAGTGTCAGGGGTAGAGCTGGTGCTAGTGACTGGTTGACTCGGGTAGTGTCAGGGGTAGAGCTGGTGCTAGTGACTGGCTGGGGGTAGTGTCAGGGGTAGAGCTGGTGCTAGTGACTGTCTGGGGTAGTGTCAGGGGTAGAGCTGGTGCTAGTGACTGTCTGGGGTAGTGTCAGGGGTAGAGCTGGTGCTAGTGGTTGTCTGGGGTAGTGTCAGGGGCAGAGCTGGTGCTAGTGACTGTCTGGGGTAGTGTCAGGGGCAGAGCTGGTGCTATTGGTTGTCTGGGGTAGTGTCAGGGGCAGAGCTGGTGCTAGTGACTGTCTGGGGTAGTGTCAGGGGTAGAGCTGGTGCTAGTGGTTGTCTGGGGTAGTGTCAGGGGTAGAGCTGGTGCTAGTGACTGTCTGGGGTAGTGTCAGGGGTAGAGCTGGTGCGAGTGACTGGCTGTCTGGGGGTAGTGACAGGGGTAGAGCTGGTGCTAGTGGTTGTGTGGGGTAGTGACAGGGGTAGAGCTGGTGCTAGTGGTTGTCTGGGGTAGTGACAGGGGTAGAGCTGGTGCTAGTGGTTGTCTGGGGTAGTGACAGGGGTAGAGCTGGTGCTAGTGGCTGTCTGGGGGTAGTGACAGGGGTAGAGCTGGTGCTAGTGGTTGTCTGGGGGTAGTGTCAGGGGTGGAGCTGGTGCTATTGACTGGCTGGGGGTAGCGTCAGGGGTAGAGCTGGTGCTAGTGGCTGGCTGGGGTAGTGACAGGGGTAGAGCTGGTGCTAGTGGTTGTCTGGGGGTAGTGTCAGGGGTAGAGCTGGTGCTAGTGGCTGGCTGGGGTAGCGTCAGGGGTAGAGCTGGTGCTAGTGGTTGTCTGGGGTAGTGACAGGGGTAGAGCTGGTGCTAGTGACTGGCTGGGGGTAGTGTCAGGGGTAGAGCTGGTGCTAGTGGCTGGCTGGGGTAGTGTCAGGGGTAGAGCTGGTGCTAGTGGTTGTCTGGGGTAGTGACAGGGGTAGAGCTGGTGCTAGTGGTTGTCTGGGGGTAGTGTCAGGGGTAGAGCTGGTACTAGTGGTTGTCTAGGGTAGTGTCAGGGGTAGAGCTGGTGCTAGTGACTGTCTGGGGTAGTGACAGGGGTAGAGCTGGTGCTAGTGGTTGTCTGGGGTAGTGTCAGGGATAGAGCTGGTGCTAGTGGTTGTTTGGATAGTGACAGGGGTAGAGCTGGTGCTAGTGACTGGCTGGGGATAGTGTTAGGGGTAGAGCTGGTGCTAGTGGCTGGCTAGGGTAGTGTTAGGGGTAGAGCTGGTGCTAGTGACTGGCTAGGGTAGTGTTAGGGGTAGAGCTGGTGCTAGTGACTGGCTGGGGGTAGTGTCAGGGGTAGAGCTGGTGCTAGTGGTTGTCTGGGGTAGTGTCAGGGGTAGAGCTGGTGCTAGTGGTTGTCTGGGGGTAGTGTCAGGGGTAGAGCTGATGCTAGTGGTTGTCTGGGGTAGTGGCAGGGGTAGAGCTGGTGCTAGTGACTGTCTGGGGGTAGTGTTAGGGGTAGAGCTGGTGCTAGTGGTTGTCTGGAGTAGTGACAGGGGTAGAGCTGGGGCTAGTGGTTGTCTGGGGTAGTGTCAGGGGTAGAGCTGGTGCTAGTGGTTGTCTGGGGTAGTGACAGGGGTAGAGCTGGTGCTAGTGACTGTCTGGGGTAGTGACAGGGGTAGAGCTGGTGCTAGTGGTTGTCTGGGGGTAGTGTCAGGGGTAGAGCTGGTGCTAGTGGTTGTCTGGGGGTAGTGTCAGGGGTAGAGCTGGTGCTAGTGGTTGTTTGGGGGTAGTGTTAGGGGTAGAGCTGGTGCTAGTGGTTGTCTGGGGGTAGTGACAGGGTAGAGCTGGTGCTAGTGGTTGTCTGGGGTAGTGTGAGGGGTAGAGCTGGTGCTAGTGGTTGTCTGGGGTAGTGTCAGGGGTAGAGCTGGTGCTAGTGGTTGTCTGGGGGTAGTGTTAGGGGTAAAACTGGTGCTAGTGGTGGTCTAGGGGTAGTGTCAGGGGTAGAGCTGGTGCTAGTGACTGGCTGGGGTAGTGTCAGGGGTAGAGCTGGTGCTAGTGGTTGTCTGGGGTAGTGACAGGGGTAGAGCTGGTGCTAGTGGCTGGATGGGGGTAGTGTTAGGGGTAGAGCTGGTGCTAGTGGTTGTCTGGGGGTAGTGACAGGGGTAGAGCTGGTGCTAGTGGTTGTCTGGGGTAGTGTCAGGGATAGAGCTGGTGCTAATGGTTGTCTGGATAGTGACAGGGGTAGAGCTGGTGCTAGTGGCTGGCTAGGGTAGTGTTAGGGGTAGAGCTGGTGCTAGTGACTGCCTGGGCTAGTGTCAGGGGTAGAGCTGGTGCTAGTGGTTGTCTGGGGGTAGTGTCAGGGGTAAAGCTGGTGCTAGTGGTTGTCTGGAGTAGTGTTAGGGGTAGAGCTGGTGCTAGTGGTTGTCTGGGGTAGTGTCAGGGGTAGAGCTGGTGCTAGTGGTTGTCTGGGGGTAGTGTCAGGGGTAGAGCTGGTGCTAGTGACTGTCTGGGGTAGTGACAGGGGTAGAGCTGGTGCTAGTGACTGTCTGGGGTAGTGACAGGGGTAGAGCTGGTGCTAGTGACTGGCTGGGGGTAGTTTCAGGGGTAGAGCTGGTGCTAGTGGTTGTCTGGGGTAGTGACAGGGGTAGAGCTGGTGCTAGTGGCTGGCTGGGGGTAGTGTCAGGGGTAGAGCTGGTGCTAGTGACTGGATGGGGTAGTGTCAGGGGTAGAGCTGGTGCTAGTGGTTGTCTGGGGGTAGTGTCAGGGGTAGAGCTGGTGCTAGTGGTTGTCTGGGGGTAGTGACACGGGTAGAGCTGGTGCTAGTGGTTGTCTGGGGTAGTGTGAGGGGTAGAGCTGGTGCTAGTGGTTGTCTGGGGTAGTGTCAGGGGTAGAGCTGGTGCTAGTGGTTGTCTGGGGGTAGTGTTAGGGGTAGAACTGATGCTAGTGGTGGTCTAGGGGTAGTGTCAGGGGTAGAGCTGGTGCTAGTGACTGGCTGGGGTAGTGTGAGGGGTAGAGCTGGTGCTAGTGGTTGTCTGGGGTAGTGACAGGGGTAGAGCTGGTGCTAGTGGCTGGCTGGGGGTAGTGTTAGGGGTAGAGCTGGTGCTAGTGGTTGTCTGGGGGTAGTGACAGGGGTAGAGCTGGTGCTAGTGGTTGTCTGGGGTAGTGTCAGGGATAGAGCTGGTGCTAGTGGTTGTCTGGATAGTGACAGGGGTAGAGCTGGTGCTAGTGGCTGGCTAGGGTAGTGTTAGGGGTAGAGCTCGTGCTAGTGACTGGCTAGGGTAGTGTTAGGGGTAGAGCTGGTGCTAGTGGTTGTCTGGGGTAGTGACAGGGGTAGAGCTGGTGCTAGTGGTTGTCTGGGGGTAGTGACAGGGGTAGAGCTGGTGCTAGTGGTTGTCTGGGGTAGTGTCAGGGGTAGAGCTGGTGCTAGTGGTGGTCTGGGGGTAGTGTCAGGGGTACAGCTGGTGCTAGTGGTTGTCTGGGGTAGTGTTAGGGGTAGAGCTGGTGCTAGTGGTTGTCTGGGGTAGTGTTAGGGGTAGAGCTGGTGCTAGTGGTTGTCTGGGGTAGTGTCAGGGTTAGAGCTGGTGCTAATGGTTGTCTGGGGTAGTGTCAGGGTTAGAGCTGGTGCTAGTGGTTGTCTGGGGTAGTGTTAGGAGTAGAGCTGGTGCTAGTGGTTGTCTGGGGGTAGTGATAGGGGTAGAGCTGGTGCTAGTGGTTGTCTGTGGGTAGTGTCAGGGGTAGAGCTAGTGCTAGTGGTTGTCTGGGGTAGTGTCAGGGGTAGAGCTGGTGCTAGTGACTGGCTGGGGATAGTGTCAGGGGTAGAGCTGGTGCTAGTGGTTGTCTGGGGTAGTGACAGGGTTAGAGCTGGTGCTAGTGGTTCTCTGGGGTAGTGACAGGGGTAGAGCTGGTGCTAGTGGTGGTCTGGGGTAGTGACAGGGGTAGAGCTGGTGCTAGTGACTGGTTGTGTGGGGTAGTGTCAGGGGTAGAGCTGGTGCTAGTGGTTGTCTGGGGGTAGTGTCAGGGGTAGAGATGGTGCTCGTGGCTGGTTCGCGAGGAGTAGTACTAGGGCTGGACTTTCGTAACATTCCTTGGCAACTTTTGCCATTAAAACTGCGGGCTAATACACGAGGCAGAATAAACGCGACCGCTTTTACGAGTTGTAAATCTTCGGCAAAAAATGTAATTCCCTCGTGCGATATGAATCACACTTTACGTGGCCTCTTCATTAAACACGATGTGCAAACGTGCATGCACACACACACACGCTGTGGCATCTGGGCTGCATTCTCATGCTCGTTTATAGATCCCAAGACAGAGATCACAATCAGAATCTTGATTTGTTTTTATCCGAGAGGAATCCGATGACCTATGAAGCTTTTTCTGACAGACATCCAGCCATCC